TTGTCTTTGCTGCATGCACACTTCCACAACCGTCCTAGCCTTAATTCTTTTTGCCTCCTATATCGGGGAGGCATGTGTGTGTAACCCTTGGAACCACACAGATCCTGTAGGAATGTGGTTTGGAAACGTTTCATTGCAGGGGGACCATCCATGTACCGTGACGTACCTGCTATTTTTTGTGAATGTTGATAGCTACATCCCACTCTACTTTCAGGCTGTTTAGGTGGAGGTAGGTCGGCAGACTCTTCGCGTTTCGTCGTCCTTGTCGATCGATCGTTTCGCGGTTTTGCAATTTTTGGAACCTTTGAGCTTTGGAGGTTTTTGAGATTTTGGAGTTGTGGAGATCTAAACCCTGTTTTCTTAGGTTTTTTTCTAAGGCCGGCGTGTGGCAAACCGCGTTCACATCAGTACGCATTTCTACAATGAGTGTGTGTGTGGTTGTGTGTTTGGGATTGCTGTTTGTGGTTGTGTGTGTTTGTGTTTTTCTTTGTGGTTGCGTGTTTGTGGTCCGGCGTTTGAGGCTGGCGTTTGAGGTCCGGCGGGGAACACTGCCAGACGACCCTGGCAGTTGAGGTCCGGCGGGGAACACTGCCGCGGCGACCCTGGCAGTTGAGGTCCGGCGGGGAACACTGCCGCGCGACCCTCGCAGTTGAGGTCCGGCGACGAACACTGCCACGGGACCCTCGCGGACTGCCACGCGACCCTGGCAGTTGAGGTCCGGGTTGGGAACACTGCCAGCGACCCTCGCAGTTGAGGTCCGGCGGGGAACACTGCCGCACGACCCTCACAGTTGAGGTCCGGAAGGGAACACTACCAGCGGGGGCAATAGTAATATATATATATAGATACAATATATGTATGTTTGTATATACACAACTTAGTGTATGTATTATCCCTCAGTTGGTTGGCCCGGAGCAACTCCTGTCTTGTTCCACAAAGTTCCATGCTGTCCCCGCTCGACTTGGGGGTTGACCTGCACAAACTGCACAGGCCCGTGCAGGCGAAGCGATCGCTGGGGAGACTACCACTCCAAGGCTGCAGCTGGGGAAGTGGAGGGCTGAGCCGAAGACTGCGACCGCCAGGTCACGTGCAGTTGACGCAGATCTGACCAAGAGGCTGGGTTCGCGGTACAAAAGCACCATGAAGACACTTTAAAGTTTGGATGTTGATGTGTACCACAAAGCCACAAAGTCCTTTCGATATTTATCAATACGACTTGAAAAAATGGATTCCGCAACTCCGCTGTTTCAATAACACGGTACAGTAAGCCTTGATATTGTAGCAAAAAGGCCCACCCAGCGATAAGTTGTGTCAGATATGCACCAAAATAACCTTGTGAGTGGGTAGTTCCAATCTTGAACACCCGTTTTTCTTTTATATTTTTTCTGATGTTTGCGACCATTTGCTGTACTACTTTGTTATTCGTGGCTCAATAGAAATGGTGGGGTTGGAGTTTGGACCCACAACGTGTTCCTAAGTTCTTACCCTTCAACTCTATGCTGTAGAGTGTGTTATTGGAAGAGGTTTGCGCTTGCACGGTCCTGCAACTCCAGACTGACACCCGTGGGCAGTTGAAGGAAACTCTTTGCAGACTTGACCTTGTTGCAGGATCACCAGGCGCTACAGAGCCGAAGTGGAAAAGGCACAATGGCGAAATCATGCAAACATCATTTCTGGGAACTCTCTGGAAAGTGTTTACAGTAAAGGATTTTTGGCAATGGAGCTATTGGCCAACTTCCGTAGAACACTAAACAAGCTTTTGGGGCTTGCCTAGCCGCCTTGGCCAGACTGAGCGAGACCGGCTTCAAAGATATGTCCGGCCCGGTGCTTGGCCTGCCATGTTGGGTCGTTTGCCTAGCTGTGCACTTCCCATATAAGGTTGGAGCAGCAGGTCTGAGCCTAAGATGTGGAGTGCTTCTGGAGATGCAATGTGAATGTTCGCGGGGCCTGTAGCACCTAGAACAGTTCCAGTTTTATATTGTATAATTACTGTGTATTATATATATATAGATACACTGGCCAGATGAAAGTTGCTCTTGTTGACGTTGAAACTCATGACAACCCTATCCCCCTAGAATCCTACACCATGAGACAAGGGAAGGTGTGGGTGGTCATTTGTCACCCCGGAAAGCCTGTTATTACATTTTATTACTATACAATTGAAACGGTGTGATAATTGACCGTCCCACACCTGCCACGAAAATCAGACTTGTTAATTCGATCCGCCGCTGACCTCAGAGTGTTTTGTAAGAAGGCTAACAAGCGTAAACTTTTGTTTGCCTGAAGTATACATAGGATTCTCAAGCCCAAATACACCAACATCGATGGTTTTCAGTGATAGATTTTGGGACGTGGAGAACGATCAGAAGTCTTCTGTCGTTCAGCCACTAGAACCTCGATGTTCCGAATATCTATATCTTAATTTGCGTGAACTCAGATCAGGCAGTGACTTTGATGAAGTTTTGCAGCATCTCAGGTGGAGGTCATGCCAGATCAGCACCAGATGGCAAGGAACTGTCACTTACAGTCGATAAAGGGCAGTCTTTAATATTGATGTTTGCCTTAGACATGGAAGGACTGTGAAGAATGAGCTTGAGAATGTCCAGAAAAAGGCTGGAATGGAGGCCATCTCCTACACCACTTGGGATGATGCCTTAGGTCGGTGACCTACATCCCGTTGAGCATCTCAAATCAGTGCTAGAAGACGGAAACTAAACACTGGCAATAATCAGCGACCACGAGTCATCATCCACTTTCAGCACATATTTTTTGGAAGCATGTTTCGAGAGGCTTCAACGCTAGCCATAGCAAGGTTCTGAGGAGATGAAGAAGAGACTGGAATTCCTCAGCTGGTATGCGCTGAATGGTGAGTCAAAGGAGGAGACGCTGAATCTGAATATGTTTTGAATAGCTTCTTGACAATGGTCCTCTTCAAAAAGCACAGCTCAAAGATGCTGTGCTACCGTACAATCAACATCGAGAAGAGGCTGTAGGTGATTCACACCTTTTCGGCTTGGAAACAGGTGACTTAGTAGTAGACTGCTGTCCTTGGCTGAGCGCTGCCTCGCCACATCGATGGCGCAAAAGGACCATGTCGACCATGTCTCCTTGCTCCAGATGCCTGAGCACGCTTTTCTGATGATTCAAGCAGCTGCTGGAGATCCTTCTAGTGTGTGTGCTTTGGAGACTCTTGCACGGTCTGTTCCACGGCCAACGGAGCTAGCATGGTCAGCTGTTCTAGAGGAGCTCTTCCCCTCGTTGTTTCTGAGGCTCGTCGGCGAGGACAGGAATCACACACCTATGCCAAGGGCACAATTTGAATCAATTTCTCATATTGGCACCCAATGGCCCAGACCCCGGTTGCATGTTGCCAATTGTTGCCATGACTATGACCAGCACCGTCTCATGTGAACCTGGTCTTTGGAGGAATTCTCAGGGAGCTTCAAGCAGGTCTACGCCCGCCGTGCTCGTCGAGCAGAAGAATGGCGCCGCCGCAAGAGAGTGCCAGCAGACGAGAAGACCGAAAAGCAGCTTTACACCGCTTTGCCAGCGCCCACCAAGAAACCACACAATAAGCTGCTTTTTGCCGACAACCGGCAGGGGCCGCTAGCTGACAGCACTTTAGGTTTGAAGGCCTGGCTTGTCACACGCACGTGCAAAACTGCAATAATAGAATACCATAGAATACCACATGTTTTTGACACGTGATAACACATGCATTGATTCGAGTCTGAACGTTTGAATATTCCATGTTAATTTTTTATAATGCCACTGCTATACATTGCTATGCTATACAATAATCTAATTAACGTGCCTGCTTCAGGCTTGCGGCCGCTGTGGCGAGAAGTATACCCCATCAACCAATCGCACGGGCCATTGCCGCTATCACGAGGGCGTGCTGCTTCCATTCGGCCCAGAGTCTGCCAGTATGACCCGCAAGGAGCAAACTTGCAGATCATGTTAACGAATCCTTGTATTATTGTATTGCTGTATTGTTTTTGTTCATTTTGTTCTATCAAATTCTTCTACATGTTCTGAAAGGTTGCACCAACCTTTGGGTTTGACATGGTATAACCACTCAATCCCTGGGTACTGTAGCGATGAAGTATGGTCTAGTAGCTTTCTGTGAGGCCCAAGGAGTGGACTGCAAGTAGGAGTCAACTTCATCGAAATGTTTTTGATCAAAAATGCCGTTGTACAATGTTTGTACTTCCCTTCCTCTGACCTGGATAGGACCAACAGCAGATCAACAAGTGTGGTCGATTCGCTTTGCGAAAGTGTGGCGGGGTGGCTGGGCGCCGATCCCGCAGAGGAGGTCATTGGTCTAAAGGCTTGGGATTGCCTGCGACGCTGGCAGGCCAGGGTAGAAGAAAAGGCCAGTGGTCGTTGTAGGAACCTGATGATGGATTGAGCTCAGCACCATACATGCCAAGGGATCAGTTTGGAGGGCCTTCCATTTACTTCCGTTGCTCTAGGGCGGGTAGTCGGGTTTGCGCTGACGCGTCGCTGCCGTGAGCTTGCAGGAAAGGTCATGGTGTGGGAAGATGTTTGTGTGGCGCCTGGCGAGGTTCTCTGCGCATGGCTGGAAGCTTACAAAACGAGTCAATGGATCTTTGAAACCGCAACTTGCAGTGGAGGTGCAAGGGTCACGCAGCTCACAGTTAAGTTTCTTGCTGTTAAAGAAATTTCTGCTCACTGTGAATACACAAGTTGTGGGTCCAACGCGCGCACAAGGTCATGCTGCTCCCAAGTTGGTTTGTTTGCTGATGGCTGCACAAGTGGCAGTCACAGGTGAGGAGCTGCGCTAAACATACTGTAGAACTTTCATGAACTTTCACCAAAATCCACAGATGGAAGCATTTTTCAATCTGTCAGACCCGCTCGGCATTTCTTCCGGTCTGCTGCTTGCCATTGGAGGCCTTCATAACGGATGCAGCCAATCTTTGTACATAGAAGACCTCTGGCAGGGAGCCTCCTACTATGCGACAAATTGGCAAGCTTGAAGTCGATCTTTGGTGATTTCCAAATGGGACCATTGATCTTCGCTTGCCGAACAGCACTGGCATGCTTGATAAACAAGCGTGCAGTTGCCAATGCAAATTGTTTGAGTAATATTTGATATTTCGATCCGTTTGCTGTCATTGTTTGGTTTGCTGCTGCAACAGTCAGTCCATAGACAAAGATGCAACTGCGGCTAAAACCATCTTAGCATTGTGTGGCAGGAGGCATGTCCCAAACCAGTTAATTACCATCAATGACTGTAGATTCATTTGGGCGCCCGGGGTGGCCATGGGTCTACCAAGCTTGGGTCCAGAAGTGCACTCCAGAATGACTCAGCTGTGTTCGAGGGAGACCGGGACGTGCTCCCAAGCGCATCACCATTGAAGATCGACTGAATCTTGACTTGATGGCTCCTGCCTGGAAGGAGCTGCCCGATGTTTGCTACGAGGGAGAGCCGGCGGCCCAAGCGATTTGTGGAACGCATGGAGCCTATCCTTCACGATAGGAAAAGCAAAGCACAAGTATTGACAAGCATCCCCAAACCAAAGGCCTCAAAACTTTCTTTGGGAACTATTTGTTGGTTCTGGTCAAATGAAGTCAGACCACCAAACTGCACATCAATGAGTTCCAACTAAACCTCAAAGGAGTTGCCAGATTAGGATTGTGCCCTGCAATCAGAGATATCACTAAGATGATGTGAGTAGAACATCAGTCGGCGTGCCAGCGGAGTGCAGACAAGCCCGGTTGAGGTTTCTGTATGGCCTGCGTCATGGCAAAGGCAAGCACACGTATCAGGGCGAGGCTGGGAACTCTGCCTGGATGGCCCTTGACTTAATGCTGTTCTTGCAAAGATCTCTAGAAATGTAGTGTGCAGTTCTTTTTGATATCCAGAATGTTCTGGGTATTGTGCAGCATGAAGTTGTACTTGACCTTTGAATGAGCATCAGATCGTTGGAGAAGGAGTGTGTATTCTGGGTGTAATGGCAGGTCTACGAAGGAAGCTGGCTTTGGGGACAACGCCATGGAAAGGGTGTTTGCATACAGCTGCTTGGAGAGTACTACTGGAGCAGCACATACTACGAGGGGCCACGCTCATTTTTTTGACTTGCTTGCCTGCTGAGGACTGATGGAACCAAAGTGATCGGGTCGTGGAAGGCTGTGGGAGGGAGAGCTGATTTGAACCAACCAACCAACTCTTTCTTCTTCTTCCGTCCTCGAACATTTTGTTCCTTTGACCAAAGGATGGCAAGCTTGAGGGCGCCGTGACCATTGAGGGCAAAACCGGTGGAACGTTGTTTGAAGGAGAGTTCAAGGTGGGGGACACTCACATCATGCACAGTTCGCAAGTTCGCATTCGTTGGCACCATGTTGCTGAGGATTTTTACACATGTATTGCCGCTTAGGCTTTTAGCTATTAAGTTTCCAAAAAAAGTCTAGAAACCAAATTCCTTTTGCGTCCAAGCCTAAGAAGCTACTTACGGTTAGTCGCGCTCTGTACTTAGACCCTTCTAGTTACCTACTTACTCCTCTGCACGGCATACGCCTACGCCCCTGCGCTTTAAACATGTCGGGTCGCGATGCCCTCAGAGTTTGCTGGGCATGAGGATTGCTGCCCAGACTTCTTGCTTTCGCTGGCACAAAAGGCCGGCAAAAGAGATGGCTTTGGGCGCCAAGTCTTTCCCAATGGTGACACATATGCTGGAGGTGCAGGCCTCAGTCATTTCTCTTCTGCCTTCTAACCTTGCACCGCATAGAGATCTGCATTTCTCCAAGCATGTTTGTCAGAGGGCCATACCTGGTCTGCTTTGCGCTTTGAGACTCGACATACTCCACCAGCAACGATGAGCTTGAATTCAGAAAAACTTAGGTGTTTAGTGGCCAAGTGACTAGTCATGAGACGTCCTACGATTTATCGACGTTGTTTGTCTGGCATCAAGGCTGGAAAGATGGAATTATGCACGATCGGGGAGTCTATCACTTCGCGAACGGCGATCATCTTGAAGGAATTTGGCATGAGGCTGGTCAATTTGTGAATGGGTACTAAACGTGCTTTCAATACTGCCCAGCCTCAGCCCCAATTGCAGCTTTTGTAAAACGTGCAGTGCCCTGGTACCGGGGCATCAGATGTTCTGTTTTTTTAAAACGCCATATTAGCAAAGAAAAAACATCTGGCACTCTTTACTGCCATTTTGTCTTGGCTTGCAGGGAAAATATCACGGACCTGCGTACTTTCGTGGTGCGGATGGCTCTGTCAGCCGGAGGGTTTGGCCTGCATGCTTCCTGCAAGCGGGCCATGGCTTTGGGTGGATGTGTGCCTTCTGCGGTAAGTATGGGAACTTGATTTTATGAACGCACCTGCACACCTTACGCCCCCAATTCTTTGCTTGATTGCAGGTCTACCAGAATGGAGTGCTGTTGACATGTCAGGAGGGTTGTGCGGCTTTCGAAACTAAGCTCCAACAGACAGAGTATTCGCATCGCTTGATTTGGGAGGACTACTTTCTGGAGTCGCAGAAGTTTAGTAAGGAGATGAGCCGCGATGTTATGCAAAAGTGATTTGATTGCAAACAACATTGATATTCCATACTTGGATGTCTATTTGTTGGATTGGCTTGAATGTCTCATAATGCTTTCCTGAGGCATACAGCTCTTTGGGAATATCCAAAACATGCACTTGAGTAGCAAGACAGCAAGGTCTTTGTTTCACCAATAAATTCTATGTGACCTACGGCATGAATTTTGTTGCTCAAAGCACAAATGAATGCCATTGAATATATACGATTGAACAAATAAATATTACGATAAAATTTATTTTATTATTCAATATTCAATTTTAAAATTAATCAATCTATATATGGTTGTCGATCTAAAGGTCCTAGTCAGTAGTGGGTATGACGATCCGGAACATATTAAAATCTCATTTGGCGAAAGTTTCTTCTCGAGTTGGCGAAAATAATTTTTTTTTGACGAAAGATTAAATATGTACTTTTGTATGAATGTTTATTTGCTTTCTGAATAGTTGGTAATAGTGATTTAGAAATTAGATGAATTGCGGAAATTAGATAACTTACTATTGCTGCGGTTATTATTATTATTACGACTATTATTATTATTACGATTATTATTTTTATTATTATTATTATTACTATTATTATTACTACTTATATTAATATTCTTGTTCCTGCTTTGGGGAATGGTTTTGCTACAAAACTCTATCCCGTAAAAGGCGAAAATTTAGCTTAAGATTGGCGAAAATTTACCTTGTTATATTTGACCCCTAATCCATTATGAGTAAGTTTGAGTGATCGGTTGTTACAATGATTCTTGCAATTTTGATTCTTGTTGACGCCTAGGAGAAACAAAAGAGACGTATAGGATGGCAACAATTAAATAGAAGATATATATTGACAAACAATAAAATTTCTATTTTATGTTTGCTAGCAAAGAAGAAGCTATTGACGTAAACAAAAATATAACATACATGGCACATATAAATACAACGTGCTTCGGCGAAAGATAAAACGTAGGAAGGCGAAAGTTTGGCGAAAATAAATTTTTGTTTGGCGAAAATGACGGATCCCGGATAAAGGAATTTAGATTAATTTCTATATATTACTACTAATATTACGGATTGGGGTGCGATCGAGTAAAAATATACAAGGAATATATTTGAAATAATCGAATTATTTTTTACATTTTCGCGTTATTATTTTTAGGTTTGGTTTTTTATAATTGTTTTATGATTTTCGTCGCGATTCGTATTTTTTTTATTTTTTTAGATAATTATATTATTCTATATATTTCGATTTTTTAAATGAAATAATAATTTAATTATTTTATGTATTATATTTTGATTTTGGGTCGTATAATTAAATAATTTTATTATGTTTTGATGCCGATTCGAATGTCGTATGGTCTATTATAGATAGTTTTGATTCATTGTAAGATTATTCGTAACGATCGATTTTGGATTTATATATATATTTTTTTTAAATTTCATTTTTATTTTTTTATATCTCAAATATATTTTAGATGCGATTTTTTAATCGAACATTTTTTGGATGCGCGTTAGCGCTTTATGTTATAATATTCGGACATATATGTAAGGGCATATTATTTTATTATACTATTTTATTTTTAATAATTATATGCGTAAACACATCACAAATTTAATATTTATATCGGATATTTTGATAGAAAATATTTATGAGGCAAGATTGTATTGATCTATTTTCGATTTGCATTTTTTAATATATATTTATATATTATTATATATATTATTCATTCTGATTTGTTATGATTGCACCGGTCATTTGCTCTATATTCTCAATGACATTCTGTTCGAATTGCTTTTTGGAATTTCAAAAAAAAGGTCTTGACATTATTGGCAATTGCGAAACAATTTCGTACAAGCTAGCATTATCAGACTATACGGTGCTTTTTGCAAACATCATGGACATCGCACAGCTTCTTGCACAGAAGCATTATGAAAAGAAATAAATTTCTTTGTAAGCACGAATTGTTTTTTTAAATTGATGGTGTCCTAATCAATTCGATTTTCAATTCTTTATTATAATAATCCTGCTGTTGCTGCCATTTTGCCACTTGCGTGTGGCCCAGCAGAGGTGCAGCTGCTTCCGGGGATCACAATCTTGAAGTCATAGAAAGCCGAAATAATGCTAGATAATTACGGTGAAAAAAAAACGCGATATTAACTTTGCATTCCAAAATAATGCAAACATTTTCGGTTCTCATGGTATGGAATACCGGAGTTTTTTCTACCGATCGTTTGCACTGTTTGTTGTTTGCCTTCGTGGCTTTTACCGTGGGTTTGTTCACGAGTTTTGCGGTCACGCTGGAAGGCGAAGCTAAAGCCTAGGAAGATTGCTACCTTGCCCTTGCAGGAGGGCCCAACTGAAAACATACGATCCAATAGCTTATCAAATATATGCTAAAATACTATAATTTGTATGGTATATTTGTACATTATATTCAGGAATATGTTTTCGGCATAGTGCCTCAGACCTCTCGAACAAGGGACCGAGCTTAGCGTAATTCTAGATGGATTTGGGCTGGATTCTGAATGGATTTGTGCTGGTTTGGAATGATGTCTGGGTGTCCTGTTATCCCTGCTGCCGTGCCCGCCCTTGGTTGGCTACAGGCAACTTAGCGAATCGCCAACTGACACTAGACCTGTCTCGGGCTCAGACGAAGTCCTATACTGCGACGAAGCTTCACTACATTTCATAAGATTTCGAGCTATTCATTTAGGCTTGGAACAAAATAAAATAATCCCGATTGATGAAGAAATCTATTTCAAGGTATTGAAATAATTTGCGACTTTGATATTGGCTCTGCCATAGGCACCGGGCAAGCGGGTGGGTCGCCAACTCACGCCGGATCTATTTGGGGATTAAAAGAAGTCCTCTATTAAGACGAAACGTTGTTATTTAATGGGGGTTCAATTTTGGAATTTTCATGTAAATTTATGCACTGCAAATAAATACAAAAAATCATAGATATATATATATATATTTACCCCAAAATATTAAATCGATATAAATAATATGTCAATATCATTCAAATTCACTAAATGTAATTTACAAAACTTTAGAGCGATGAGAACTATGCTCAACCTATTGCAAGACAAATTGGTGGATCGTCAATTAATACTAGACCTGTCTCGGGCTCAGACGAAGTCCTGTGCTGCGATGAAACATCATTACATTTCATAAGATTTCGAGCTATTTATTTAGGCTTAGAACAAAATAGAATAATCCCCACTAATAAAGAAATAAATTTCAAGGTATTGAAATTCTTTGCGATTTTGATATTGCTTCTACCACAGGCACAGCGCAAGCGGGTAGATCGCCAATTAACGCCGGATTTATTTGCGGGTCAGAAGAAGTCTTTTATTAAGAAGAAATATTATTATTTAATGGGAATTTAATTTTGGAATTTTCATGTAAATTTATGTAATACAAGTAAATGCAAATAATTCGTAAATGCACATATATTAATACCAACATATTAAATCGATATAAATAATATGTCAATATCATTCCAATTTATTAAATATATTGAATGTAATTTACAGAACTTCAAAGCATTTGGCCCCATTTTTGCATTGCTCAGACTCCGATTACTCCGGATCCTTTAATACCATCGTTCAGCTTTCAGGAAGCGACAGCTTGGTTAAAGCGTGAATGTCGCGCAGCAATCCGACTGCAGCTCCTGAAGTGGCAATCCGGCAGGCGACAACCATTCGGACGCGTATCCATTGTTAAACGATCAATTGCAATGGGTGGCTGTCCGTGCTTTCTGGCAATTCTAACGCAACGCTCTGCGATCAGTGGCACTGACTTGGGTCCTGCTCGCCATCCGCGACAAAGGCTGCTGCAAGTAACAAACAACTTGCAGAAAGTGATCGATGAAATCTACAATAGAACCGAACGGCGAGTGCCGTTATCGTGGCTAATCACAAAGAATGTGCTCTATTGTTACATGAAATTCATTCATGCAATGAATAGTAGCCAGACCCATGCTCCCTACTAACGGCCAAGAAGGAAAAAAAGGTCCGTGGTTTGTCAATTTCTTCATTTGTTAAGTTATCGGTTTGGAATTTTAAGGATCGTCTTTTTCCGCTCTTAGAATAACGGACCGACCCTAATAAATATATATATATATTGTTCATAACGTAATATATCAACATATTACGATAAGGCCTACTAATAAGCGCGTATACGCGCGTAATTTGGCTAAGCAAAAAATCAGAAAATATGTTTATTTGTATTTTTTGCGAAAATATTTATTTTTTTAGCGGCTTTTTGGTTATTTATTTTTAAATTTAAAAGCAAAGGTTCGAAATAATTAAATAATTTTGGATATTTTATATTTATAATTTCTTTAAAAAATGAATATGTTCATATTATATTTTTAATGTTTATTTCGGAAAAACGATTATTTTGAATTATTCTTTTTGTTTTGCTTATTATTGTTTTACTAGGCAAAAATAATATATTTATTCGATTGTTTTTCATTTGCATTAAATTAATTTTGTTTAAGAACGTAAATTTTTTATTTATTGCCTAACACTTGGCGACTTGGTTGGGGCCAATCGTTATGTGTAGAAATTCTTTGGAGAGGGAAGGTCGGGAGCGGTTAGATTTTTGTTTATTGGAAGAATATTAAGCACTCTATATGGCCTCCGCACGATCGTAGCGACATTCGTAAAGCCCTGATTTATATCATCCCTCAACAGAATATTGCACCTTCTTACCGAATTAATGGATTCTTGGCTATCAACCTGAAACAATACATCTCCTAAGCTCTAACCTGATTCCATCTTAATAATTGATTATCTTAGGCGCCAAGGTCGCTTTGACCATAATTAATGTGGATGACAAGCTGCGACGTGCTTTCGGTCGCCGCTATAAGGGCCAGAATCGTGAATTTAAAGTTGGTGAACGAATTTAGTTCTGGAGAGACGGCCGTCAAGGTCAATTCAATAAGATCCGCTGGCTTAGACTTGCTTATGTTGTGTTGAGGGCGGAGGAAACCAATAACAATGTCCAGCGGGTCAAGCTTTATTGGCTAGCCTATAAGAGACAGCTTATCCGAACAGCACCCCATCATGTGCGTGTTGACATCCTCGACCCTCAATATGTCGTGGATGACTTTCAAAGTGCGACGAAGCATGTGCGGCACCTCAAATCTCGCGGAATGACGCGGTATTTTGATATACGTCGCATCAATCGTCAACACCTGGATGCCGTTGATGAGGATGAAATGAAGGATGAAATGAACACGATGACGGTCCTGATGAGCCACCACGGCACCGTCTACGACTTGAGCCTTTAGCACTGCTAGAAATTACGGTTAAAGATGCAACGGAATATTCTCCTACGTTAGCAACGCGTTCTAGTCATGCGCCGACATTTCCACGGGCCATTGATAGGTCATCCACCATCCCCGTCAATCAAGACGCTCCAGGTCGAGACCACCTACTATTATTGCAGAACCGAGTGAAGAACCAACGATTCCCACGCAACATGGAGACCAACACCTGCTGCCAGAGCCGGTGCCTGCCCTGGCGAATGAACCTGATGTAACATTAGATCCAATCATTGCCCCACCATACCAACCACGCGACATTGAGACAGAAACCTTCGAACAGAGACGGGCCCGATTTAATCGACAGGAGACCATCTCCTTTGGTCCCATTCGCGCCCAACGAGTGACGGACATACCTTATGGATCATTAGAACCCAATGCAGCTGCCTAGCCATGAAGCTATCCCTGAGGCACCAGCTGCACCGAGTCAAGCTCCACCAAAATAAGATGAAACCGAAGATCAGGTCCCATTGTCTCAGGCATTTCAGGTGACTTCCATCGATTCCGATGCCTTGCCAAGCGGATTGGCTATTTTGAGCTTGAGAAAAGGGAACGTATTTATTGGGAGGTCCGTGCCGGCCATTTAATCCGCCATCATTGCGTGCCTCGACGCCACAAGATGAGCCTGCAACAACTGCCTGCTAATACAATCTATCTTTCGCCGAACACAACCTCGACCGTGCTCGGGTCATTGTGGTCTATGAGGCAAATGACCGATGCTCACAAACCACTGATGATGGCACTTGCACCAGATTACCATGCACTACTTCCTGGACTGGCGCTACGATCTTTTAGATCAAGGGCCCAGTGCGAAAAGAGTACGCCCTGTACGCCAAGGTACCACTTCATGGAGTTCGTCAAATTGGCAAGATGGTCAAGCAGAAATATGCCAAAGACCACAAGAAGATTAATAAGAGCGCCAACTCATTGTCCGAACGGACGATGACACCTAATGACCGAGCCATGTTCAAAACTGCCAAGGTGAAGGAGCTCCAATCCTTCTTCGACAACAATGTTTAGCCTTCGAAACCACACGGGAGGTTGCAACATCTCGTACACTGACCAGCAAGATATTGCTGAAACGGTCCAAATATCCTAATGGCTCTCCACGGCCCAAGGCACGGCTCATCGTGCGTGGATTCCAGGATCCTGATGCTTGGAATGGGACGGTTCCAATTTCTTCTCCCGCGATTGCCAGATTGTCCCGTTCTGTTCTGCTGAGCTTGGCCGCCATCATGTCTTGGAGCTTGTGGATATCAGATATTGCCATTACTTTCTTGCAGGGTCCAACTTCCGACTGAATATCTTCAGTTGCTGGGATCTGGTCCTGAGATCAGGATGCTTCTGTTGAAGCTTTGCTATGGGCAGATTAATGACCCTCGTGCTTGGTTTTTGGCCGCAATGGAAAAATTTCAGGCCATGTGTTTGAGACAACATCCCCTTGATCCATGCTATTTTCTGATTTGTGAAGGTGATCTCAACCCCCAGCTTTGACTCCACGTCTGTGCCAACACACATTCTTGGCTCCTATGGCGTATATGGGATGATCATCATCCACGTCGATGATATGTTGGGCTGTGGATCTGCCGACTCCAAATGTTATGTAGAGACCATTGAGAAATTCAAGGGCACGTTCATCTTCCGGGAATGGAAGACCGATCAGGATCAAGACACACTATCCTATTGTGACTGTGACATCATGCCAAGCTCCAATGGAGGGCACGTATTGCACCAGACCGCCTACATGAAGAAGGTCAAACCCATCCCCTACGACAAGAAAAGAGACCTCACCGAACCGCTCAACGAGAGCGGAATGACGCAGCTGCGAGGCCTTCTCGGCTCCTTACAGTGGCCAACTACACAATCCAGTCACCCATCTACAAGGAAGCACATCCATTCCAAGCGGCCAAATGGCCCGAGCCTCTCTGCAGAATGTGACTAACAATAATCGCTTGCTCAAATTTGCCAAGGACAACTCCGACGTTGGGCTGAGCTACGACCATATTGGTCCTTTGAGTAACCTGCGTGTGCTTTGCTTCTTTGATGTTGCGTTTACCACCCGTTCCGACGGCAGCTCTCAAGCAAGCTACATCATCAAGAAGGCCTTGCTTCAGCCTGACGGCCCTGAAGGTGCTTATCACGTGCTGGACTGGAGGAGTCTGAAGATTCCACGTATGGCACGCTCCTCTCTTGGAGCCGAAACACAAGGGGGAGGTCAAGCCTGCGACGCCCTCTAAAGGACCTGCTGGAAGCGTCGTGTCTGCTAGAGCCCACCATGGTGATCGACGTCAAAATCTTATATGATTCATTTCATCGAGAAGGCGTTGGAAGCTCTGTTGTGGACAAAAAAATATCCCTGGAGGTACGCGTCATGAAGGAGCGCTTCCTGTCCCTCGGAGGCAGCTTGCGCTAGATGTCGTCTGAGCGCCAAATGGCAGATGGTCTCACGAAGGAGAGTGCGAGAGTCGTATTCGCCCAACGACTTTGCCATAGAAAATTGAAACTGACTTAGGACCCTCACTACAAGGCTGCAAAAAAGAAAACTAAAGATGAATTCCAAACAAGCTTGCAAGAGACCACCACCGCAACCCGCCCAGTGAAGTTGATGTCGGCGCCAACTCCTATCTGCGAGGTCGAAGAGACCGAGGTCATGAATGGCGAATTCCCTCTGGATAACAATATTCCGGAGAAGAATTGTGACATGAATACCGAACATGACATAGCCCATGCCCACCTGGTTCATATTGATGGAATAATCAAATATGTCTTCCGGGCCGGCCCGAGCCATAACGCGCCTTGCGTTGTGCCATATGTCGCCGGCAATCACCTGAAATATTTAATGATGGTTATGTTGTTTTTCTTTTTGCCTTATGTGACAACGGCAACCACTGAGGAGGAAGAAACAACAAAAGGACCTAATAGTTTTGAGGTAATCGTCATTATGGTGATTACCATATTATTAAGCACCGTCTTCATGTTTAAGCGTTAGAGCGCAACAAAATTATCACCGCAACAGAGATCGGAATGCAGAAAGAAGAAATCGTCATTCCTCAATATCTAGGAGCTAAGAATAAGAAATTCTATTTAAAAAAAAATAAATAAAAATTTTAGAACACCAATCCTAATGAATTTCAACGAGCGACCGACAAACTACTAGCAATAGGAATTTCTTTTCTCCGGATTTCCATTCATAAAATAGATAATTATCGTTCCAAATATCCGCCAAAAAAGAAAAATTTAATCTACCGGCGAAAACGCTTCCTCCTATCATTCCCCAAAACGTATCCTTCTTCTCATCTTCCTATTCCTTTCGTTCTTTCTTTTCCTCTGCTCCTCTTCCCTTTTCCTCTTTCGTTTTGTTAACTAACAACCTATCGTTTTTTCAGCGTTTTGAAGCGGAATCCGCCCTTCCTCTTCCTTTTCCTTCTTCCCACGCTCACTCTCACTCTCACTCACCACCACCGCCACTTCTGCTGCTACACCTCTAGACCTCCCATACATTGTTTGGGATCTTTTACCGGGCATGTTATTTAATATAGAGATTTACTATTATTATTCAATTTCCCTCCCATACGAGATTATATATCTATATATATATATTGATCTATTTATATATTACATATATATACCATATGTTTTTAAGATATCATACATCAATTATTAATCTTTTGTCATTTAATACATGTTTGATGATTCCCTAATCGTATTCCAAGGTTTATTGTTTGCATTCCTGGTCCTGAGAGTGTCAGAGTCAATTCTATTGAATCAAATATCAAAAGACATATCATATACAATCTTATATTGTCTTATATTTGGGTAGCGATGACGAATGATGCATGTATTTCCTCCTAGCCAACAACACTCTCTATCACTCAACCATACTCAACCAACCTTCCGCGCCTTCACACATTGATCCTCAATTCGTCTGCAAATATTACAGGACTTCTCGTCGCAAACGAACCTGACAGAACAATGGCTTGTTCATCTCTAGTCGGAGCCCGGAAAGAGCATTCGACCGCTCCAAAACACCAAAAGAGTTCAACAACGATTGGTTCATGAAGAAAGCAGCATCTCAAGTTGCAAATAAATAGTTATGGTGTTATGGTGGTTGATCAAAATGCCTTCTTGCTGAAAGGACATTCTTCGCAAAAAAAATTACTTTCGCGAATCTTTCGCGAACTCCATGTTTATCTTTCTCGGGGGTATATGCTCCAGACATCTTCTTGGTTTGGTGGCTTGACATAACAGCCCAAGGGATCTGTTACGCATCCAAACAAACTACCCGAGGTGACGACGCCTTCTGGCGCCTGTGGGTGGCGTGTTACATCTCTCCTGAAACCCCCTGAGGAGGACCATTTCAAGAAAGTTGAGTAAAAATGGGGTCGTCAATTTGGACATTAGTTTTTGTTATTTCAAGTACCTGAGTAATAAGAGTTTGTTTCCATCAGCAATCAGGATAAATTGGGATCAATCATCTTAAGCATGAGACACAATGCTCAGAGAGAAGGACTCCCTTCCACGAAATGATTGGACTCAGTCTTGGTGTAAATTCTCTTTGTAGCAACATGGCATGAAAGCTGTGACATTCTCTCTTAAAAAAGCCATAGTCTGCTCTGTCGGTTTTCAAACGGTCCCAATTGGTCAATTCTTTCACCAAAGTGCTCAGCGGGAAAACCGCCATACGGTGCTTTTCACTTCCAGCGGCAAGCCTTCGACAAGTGCAGCAGGAACTCTTGTCCCGTGACATCTCCATCAGCTCTGAGGTTTTTGCGCCAGAGCCATTGGTACACACGGCGTTCCAACGTTGCATTCATGCAACTGACGCCTTTCATTGTTCCTTTTCTTTTTACCTGCTTCGGCATGAAGCGCTTCAGGCTTCCCCAAGCAGCATCGATGCACTGCGTGCCTCCGACTTTACTCAGCTTGGGCCGAGGAGCACGTCGAAGCTGCACTGCGTATTGTCGTTGCTGGTGTGACACCTGAGCCACAGGGATCTTCAGCTTCTTGGCAAAGGTTCGCCAGCTCGGAGCACCATCTGAGTAGATTGCTGTGTTCTTGTCTGCTCCAATGTACTTTGCAAGGCCTGACCTGTCAATCTCCCGAATCGATTCGACAGGCGGCCGAGCGAAGAGTAACCTTCGGCGTCATGAACTTCACCACCATCAAGCCACCCCGCTGGATGGCGCCGACGACACGCACATGGACTGGGTAAGACTTCAAACAGGCCCGTTTCTTCTGCTGCAAATCTTGGATCTGGTCCGCGTAGAAGATGTTGTCAGGCTTCACAAAGAAGCGGCCGAGTGATGTGGCATCACACTCGATCTCCTGGCGGAGCCGGATCAACGACATTGCCTTCTTGCCTGCTGCAGCTTCACGCTCCGACAGAACACGCAAGAAGTTGTCCGCCAAGTTGTAAGACACGCCGTGTGCATGCACCAGGTCTGTGGCCACCACAGCTTTGGTATGGGACATGTTTGCGTAGCGCACCTACATCCGAAACAAAATCAACCAACGGATCACCTCCCACCGGGTACGAACCAACATCAATTAATCCGTCCAAAAAGAAGGGGTCCACACGAAAAAAAACCTCTAAAGATGACTCAGAAACGGTAACAAAACCACGCCCCCCCCCCGAACCCCCCCCCAACACACCTGTAGCTCACAGAAGGACAAAGTCATATATCAAGCACACTAGATACTGCATTATTGGAGGTTATTACATATCAGGCACAGGCGCCTGGAGGCGTTACCAGCAACTACCCGGTCTCTAGGTGGTCGTTTCATTCTGATCAAGAACAGCAGCGAGCATTCGCGTGCACAAGCGATCCAGGACAAACACCGCGCGTGCACACGATCCGGATTCTGCGTGTACAAACAAACCGGGCAGGGGTCCACAAAACAGTCCTTCACATTCGCCTATGCTTTTCTTTCGCGGAACTTTCGCGAAACTTTCACCAAAACATGTTGCTTCATTGGTGGGCTTCTAGGCCCAAAGCGAAACAACAAAAGAGTTACTATACAGCCTAGGGATTGCGCATCGCAAGTGTGAGCTATAGATTGTGCAATGTAAAGGCTTGTGAATGTGCCACTGATGACTGACTGTGCCTAGGAGCATGGCCAAGCCAAACCACCAATGTGAGTGAGCTAGAAGCCTAAAGACTGCATCGAAAGTCAGGAATTAAGGCTCCTCCTGAGTGAAGGAAGCATGAAGTATACATAGTTCTAACATAGAGTGTAAAATCAAGAAAACTTTCGCGGACAACTTGAAGAGGCCCTCAGTGACATAGGGCTTATGTCGACCTTTCGATCGACTACCATATGTAAATCCTCCGGAGATGTAGGACCCTTTCCTTTTATCTATGGGGAGCCATTTCAGGATCCTGGATGGCATCTTCCTCTCTTTTAACAAAATGCCACTAGTGGACACATGTTCTTCAGCGACAAGTCACTGCAGTCATGCATGTCAGACTATTCCGATCTATTTCGCCTATGAACCGCTTTTTGTTTAATGCAACCAATTGAACTATATGGCAAAATGTGAGACTTGTCTTGACATTTGGCAGGCTTGTCCAAGACCGGGCCTTGCGGTGCACTGTGGATCTGGCATTGAAGGATCGCAAGCATCAACAGAGGTGCCGCTGCCTCAAGTGGCTTGCCCGTGATCAAAACGCATGGCTTGGTGGGTGACCTTCCCAAGTACAGTTTGGCATTGTGTTCAATCCGGGTGCACGAGGCTAGCAGGCCATCGCTAGTAGGTTGGAGGCCATCGCTATTAGGTACATGTGAAAGAATCTGTGAAAGAATCCGGGTGCACTAGGCTAGATCTAGAAATGCTTACACGAATTTTGAATGCTGCCAACGCTTCATAAGGGCAAGTGCACGTTGCCGTCGGCTTCAACTGCACGCATCAACCGGTTCGACTGATCCTCGAAACATGAAAGCCTATGTCCATGCACATTGCAAAATCAACCATTTAAGAAAGCAAGCTGCTAAAAGCACCCCTCCTTCACAATGCTGGAGGCTGTCAGAGGCTTGACCAGCAAGCAGCACAATGAGATTCCCAGAAACATGCGCAGCATGCTGTGCTCAGCAAACAACTGCAAACTTGAGCCACGGAGCTCTGGAACAGCCAGACTGTGCTTCAAACATTGAGCACAATTTGACCCATTGTTTTTGCTTGCTACGTTCTCGAAACTCGAAAGCAACATAGAATTTGATTGATTGCACTAAGCTGAAACCCTACAACAATCAACACCCATAGCTTTGGATAGACCTCAAGGGCCTGTGCTCATCAACTTACCTCCTCACAAGTAGCTTTGCTTGTTTTCAATGTCTCAGAGTCGGCGAATAATTTGGCGATTGTCAAGCCATCAAGGAGCTTCATATCAGTGAAATCCTGATCCCTCCTCAATGGTGGCTGGGAAGGGGAGTCCTCCCACCAACTCCCACCTATAGAACTCCGAGTAAAGAACTCAGTCTCGAGCCATTGATCAGTTGATCTGGAGACAAGGCCAAACATCTACTGCACATTGATCTGGTGGTACAGCCCCTTCATGCTTGGACTGCCGGAGCCTAAGGCTCGACGACAGGCAGCATCAAAGGCCAGTGGGTTGTCAAGGAACATCTGATGTCCTGCGTTCTCGATGACCAACCTTGGAATGCTCGAACTGCATACAGTTCGTCAGAAGTGACACGATTTGGAGGGCAACTCTTGTGTCTCATGATGTCTCAAATTTCACTGTTAAGCTTCCCCCAAAATCTAGAAACCAAATCAGTAGCGTGAGCTATCCTGCGTCCTAAGTAGTAGCTACTTAAGCTACTAGCTGCCTACCTAGCTACTAGCTACCTACCTCACCTCCTAGCGGCCTACCCCCGTTTTAAGACATCAATATATAATCCTTATATAATTCATCTCAAGGCGTCAAGGACTTTTTGAAACAGGGTGTTGATGGACTCTTGTAGGAAAACGACAAAGTGTGGCTCACCATAACTAAGGAATGGTACACATCGTATTGCAAAAGAGCCACGCTGACAAATGCTAGAATGCACATGATATGTCAATATCAAGATATATGAAAAAATTAGTCACAAAATTTATCTATGCAAATCGAGATGGTCATCTCTGTGGGGTAGCTTTTGCCCAGCTCCCTAACCAGCCAGGCCCCAGCACGTGCATCCATCCAATCTGTGTCCCCATACAGGAGCGTCACCTTGGGAGGGACAAGTTCTGATTTTGGTGGGCCTTGGCAGATCAAGCTCTCTACCATCTTGTAATGGATGTCACCATATTGTCACCGACATTCGCTCGAGTGGAATTGCGTAAGACAGCTTGAAATGAAAAATCTCTCCAAATTTAAGATCATGGCGCAAATATGTTCAAGTACGCCTCACACAGGCTACAAAATCTTCCCAAAGGCCTCAACACAGCTTGCTGATGGTCCACCCCGTCTGCTTGTCTCTGAGCCACCATATGGGACAACACTGGAGACTCAAGGTCCCATCATCTAATTTGCATCAACTGTTTTGCCAATGAGATTTGAGATACCTTGTGCAAGTGGGTCGTATTCTAGACACAATCTAAACCTTACACCCTGGGAGTAGTTGTTTTTCGTTCTGGTTTCTCAATTATCACATATGAAGTACGAAAAACACTGAAATAATTGAAGTATAAGCCCAATCTTGAAGATGTCTGACATGGACATGCCATATCATGCCATCCGCCCCCCGTTCATTCGCCCAAGGACCGGAACTTCGCCGACTTCGCGTTGCAGCTGCTCCACGAGGCGCGGTGCCACCGGGTGCTTCGCCCAGGCCCCAAAGTCCAACAAGGCGCCCAAGCAGCGCTCTGAGCCCGGAGAACGGCGAGCCAAGGCATGGAGGTACTGGGCAAAGGCTGAAGAATCCAGTTGCCTTCAAAAGTTACAGAACGGACAAAGCAACGGCAACTGCCACTTAGCTCAGCAATGACTTTTTAATAATAATGTTGAAAGATGCTGAAACATGTTGAAAGGATGCTTACAGTATGATTCGTCCCATGTTGTCCTGCTGTCCTATTCTGGCATTTGCTTCCTCGAGTTGTTGTTCATTCAGTATTTGTCCAGATGTATGCAACAGATTGCAAAAGATGCCTCCAGACGTACGCTGTTGACAGAACACCCCCAGATTGTCCAGTGCTGTGGCGCGGGTCCTTGTTGGGCACAGTTGACAGCTGTGTTCTTTCATATGCTGCATAGATTTGTGTTCACGTCCGATGTGTCTCGAGCAATCTTACATAAGGCACTCCGGGATCCACGTCCTTCTTTGTGCCATCCAAGTGGTCCTGTTGAAATACATCAGGGTGCACTTCAATGTGTTGTGTTTGAAAGAACATGAAAGAACCACAAAGAACCCCAAACCAAAAAAGAGTCTTCTCGTGTAAACATTGTAGATATTATAGATATCTGACATTATAACACACAAAACAAGTTTCCTGGAAGGCACTACTGCTGGGTAATGTTATGGTATATTTGTTGATTAGGCTGGAAAGCAAACATTTGTAGCTGATTAGACTAATTTTGGAGCTGTTGTAGCTGGCAAAATACATTGGAATAGTGTAGGTGTCAAAGAAACTCCTACCTATCACAACAGTTTGGTGCAGTTAGCAGAGAAACAGTAAAGAGAAAGAGAACTAGCACAGGAGGCATATATATATATATATGATTGGTTAGAAGTGTTTTCCCCGGGAGTTCACCTTAAAATATTGATTTCGTGGCAGGCGCGGGTGTCGGAGATGAAGTTCAGATTTCGTGGCGCGGGGGGGTTGGGAGGGGGCGCAGCGCCCCCCCAGCAGCACACCAGATCCAAACATTAGAAAGCAAACAAATGGAAAAGCAAAAGCACAAAGAGAAAGGAGAACCGCTGCCAAAGCAGAAAATAGCAACAAAGGCAAAAAGCAGAAAGACAAAAACACAAAAAGCAGGAAAGCAACAAAATCAAAAAGCAGCAGAAGCAAAAAAGCTGCAAAAGCAGAAAGGCAACAAAAGAAAAAACAGCAGACGCAAAAAAGCAACAAAAGCAGAACAGCAGCAAAAGCAGAATCCGAAACAAATTCCAACAAAACAGTTAAACAATACGACTACGACAAAAACCGCCCATCCTTACAGTAAGTCCCTTTTGCTGAACTTTGGTAATCTTTCAACTCAGGACATGCATCTTGCGCATGATTGAAAGCCAGGTGACATGGTGCCCAGCTCTCGGGCGTGCCGAAAGCGGCGATCCATGTACCAGTCTGTGAGCCAAAGACCCAAGGGTCCAAGGACTCGGACGAAATCCATGGGCGTCCAACCTGTGGGCGTCCAATCCATGGTCGTGGAATAATAAAGAAGCTAAGAAGCGTCCGATCGCTCCGTTCGTAGCGATGCCCTCTGTTCCTAGTAGTTTCTTGCTCCTAGTAGCGATGCCAGGCGTAGAAGAAGACAGCAGCACATATAGTTGGAGTAATTTCCCTAGATCAAATGTTGCAACTCAAAGGTCGTACAAGGAATATTAAACAATGTGTGTTGCCAAATACCAATGTGACATATATCATATATCCTGTGCTGTCTATTCTGCAGTTCACGATGGCTTTAGCAAATATGTTCAGCAAAACAGCAACCCCTACTACTACAATTTATGCATCCAAGAGAACCCCCTACCTTTGGTTCCCGAAGCTCTCTGGCCAACTGATTGCGAGGCCTCCTTCCCACATACTCTTGATTCGATAGAAGAGAAAGCGTTGCCACCAGGGCAAAGACTTCAGACGATCTTCGGAAAATCCAGCGTCGGGTTGCTTACCTCGGCGCTCGCTCTTGCGCATCAAATTCAAACCTGAATAGTTAAAGGAATATTACAACACATACATTGTACTGCATATATTCAATCCACCCATGAGTCGTCCTGCATCCCGCCTGACAACGATCTCCTATACTCTCACTATTCGAGAAATCCTGCCATGTCAACACATGCAGGACGTTGTCCAAGAGTCCAACCAAGAAATTATATACACATCTCTCTGGACGTTGTGGGTCCGACACAGGTGCCATAATCGTCATTTTACTACTGGACACTCTACTGCTGCGCACGTATCCAAAGCAACAGTTTTCCATTCAAAGTCCCAGAAAGACTCAAGAATCCTCGACAAATGCACCACTGGAAACCCTCTGACATGTTCTGCAGGATCCTCCGGGCAATATAACAATAACACCTTCCACTCAGACATGAATTCCATTAGGCTGCCCATCATACCCACCGGGCTCGCGAGGATGAGTTTCTCGACGTGCTGGGGGTATTTCATCGTATAGCAAGCGGCAAAGTAGCCTGCAGCATATCTGGCGAAGGAAGGACAATTTTGAATCTTGAATACAAGCAAGTCAAGAGTTCCAAAAACATCAGACTCCATCCGAACAATAATCTACCCTTTGGTCTCTCCTACGAGCTGTCTTATCATTCCTGCCCTTTGCCACGTTCATACAGGAAACTGTGAGTACACCCACGAACACTTACGTACATATCATCTAGCTTCCGCGCCAAACCAGTACAGTAGTCTTTTAGTACGTTTCACACCCCAGGTTCTACCAGCTGTTGGAGGCCATCGTCTTTAGGTTGGAGGTTATCGCTTCTAGGTAGGGGAGCAGCGTTTCAAACGGTTCTACCAGCTGGCCTCCAAAGCTGTGGCCCAACAAAACCACACGTTCGAGGCCAACAGACTTTCGCCAGCTCTCTATGCCATCCACGAAGAACTGCTCGCAAGCATCGATACCCTGAATGCCAGGACTGGCGCAGCTTCCCAAATGAAGGAATTAGGGTTATTCGGACTTTCTTCTACATCTGACACCTCCCAAAGCTCCCTGCTTCAAGTTCATCTCTGGATCAATTCGGCGCTCTGACCAAATGAATGCAACCCGAGAATTCTTTGCACCATTCCAGCATTTCTTCTCATGACGCCCACAGGCAAATGGGCAAAAGAGCTGAAATCATGAAACTTCTTGAAATCTTGAAATGTCTGCACTATCGGCTATACAAGTCAAAGTTGATATGGTTCCAATCCAAAGCGACAGTTCAGGGAGTTCAGGATCAAGCCAAAGAACGCACAATGGTCCCCAAAGCATCAAAGCATGGAATGCTTCGGAATTGGTCGGAACAAATCCCCCTTCTTTCATCTCAATTCCTCTTTCGTCTATCGGTTTCTTCAGGATTTCTAGGCAGTGTGGGCCCGTGGGCCTGCCCCGCCGGAAAGGACGACCGAGAGGAGAGTCCCCAGCTGGGCCAGTCGATGGCATAGACATTGCGCCCGCTAGAGGCCAAGGCATCAAAGCTATGTGCCCAGGAGGCCGATCCCATGAAGTATCCATGGACGAGGACCTGACATGATTCGGGCTTAATTCTCGCTGTGAATTCCAGAAAAAGGTAATGCCACTAGTCACAAATTGTCACACATGTGATGAAAGGTTGTGCAGCAACGATCCTTTGCACTGCGCTACTACTCGACTCTACTTGTTGGATTGTTTGGTACTGTAGGGAAATCAGCACATGTTCAACAGAATTCATCTTGAATCGGATCTCCAAAACGTTTATTTTCAGAATCGAATGCACATAATTGAAAATACAGTTCGAGCTTTCATCCGTAGCGTACCACTGGTGCTCTTCCACTTGAACTTGGAGATATACTCAGCGTGTGTATGCTTCCATCTTTGACAGGCACATCAGTCACGTGGACTTTGCACTTCGTACCTTGGTGCTTCAAGCGGGTTCCAATGCACGCAAAGCAAGGCTTTGACTACAAGGCCAGGAACACCAACCTATCCGAGGCGTTGAAGGACAACAGGCGACATTGCCAAACTAAGCGAAAAGGATTGTAAAGTTATCCCACAAATCTATGAACCAAATCAATCATGCCATGAACCTGGCTCTTCAGCGTCCCTACCTTGCTAACCCCTCTTGCTACATTAGTAGGATTAGTAATTAGGCAAACTTACTTACTTACTTAGCTGCCTCTTCCTACGCTACCCCTCTCTTTACATCCACCCACATACCGAGCTACCTTCTAAGACCTTACTTTCGGCTCTCCGCAGTCGCTCTTCGCTGGACAAAGTCCAGGCCCGAAGCCTTTCCAGAAAAGAGCCAAGGTGAGTACCTCTCACAGTAGCCACAAAAAGGATCAACAAAAAGGACATCAGAGATTTCCACTGCCGACTGCTATATATTATATACTGTATACACTGTTTGTCAATAACGAGGCTACTTCTAGGAACACTAGCTGTGGCTTGCAAAGCTAACCCAGCGCTTGACTCCAGCGCGCCTGAAGAAATGCTTAGTGTCTTGCAGGCTTCAGGAATCATGGCGCTGGCTGAAGATCTTGGCAGTGGCTGCAGCAAAATCCCTGCAAAATCTCTGTGGCTCGCCAGTTGGACACATGTGCGATGGTTAAATTTAAATGCGTGATCTCACCCAACCAACATGGAACGTTTGATGAGTATTCAACACATTACACAAGTATATTCACGTCGCTTCGCGACGGTAACCGCCCGCACCGCATGGAAGGGGACAATATATCCACCGAGCCCCGGAAGGAATCCCGGCAGTAAGGAACACGAGCTGGAAGGGGGTCTTGTGCTCTTGGAGCCAAGGGAGTTAGTATGAAAGGAAGTGCCTTCGTTAGACCATGTTTACGACGTTCAAGTACCTATCTCGGGGAAGCATACTTGAGACTCCTGACCAGCCACGTACCCGGACGTTCAAGTCCCTATCTCGCAGACACGTCCATTAGATAGTGACGTCTAGGGCTATGTTACGTACCAGTTTACGACGTTCAAGTCCCTATCTCGCAGACACGTCCTTTAGATAGTGACTTCTAGCGCTCTGTTAGGCAATATCTTCACTCTAGTTCGACCTTATGGGAGCTATGCTCGTGAGATAATGTTACCGTTCCTGAACCGGACCTGCTTATCTCTGCTCCTGACCAGCCACGTACCCGGACGTTCAAGTCCCTATCTCGCAGACATGTCCATTAGATGGTGACTTCTAGGGCTATGTTGCGTACCAGTTTACGACATTCAAGTCCCTATCTCGCAGACACGTCCTTTAGATAGTGACTTCTAGCACTCTGTAGGCAATATCTTCACTCTATTCCAGTCCCTTTGGAGCCTTCGTTAGACCATGTTTACGACGTTCAAGTACCTATCTCGAGGAAGCATACTTAAGATAGGGACTTCTGGGGTTATGTTCGACCTTATGGGAGCTATGCTCGTGAGATAATGTTACCGTTCCTGGACCTGACCTGCTTATCTCTGCTCCTGACCAGCCACGTACCCGGACGTTCAAGTCCCTATCTCGCAGACATGTCCATTAGATAGTGACTTCTAGGGCTATGTTACGTACCGCTCAGATGATTCAGCTGATGCAGATGATGCAAAGCAGAAAATTGAATTTCTTGCATCCCTAAAGGCTTCAAGATAACAAACATTAGCACGAAAGCACTTTCAGCCGGTTCCAAAAACGTGAAAAACACAGGATTCTAGAGCGAAAATGCCCTCCCCCCCTAGCTAAAGCTATCAGTACTACTTGCGGTACTTGCGGTTCATGCGCGCCCTATAAAACGCCTCAGCACCTTCGGTGCGGGCGGATTTATAGGTTCCTCACCAGACTTGCAGGGCTGGTTAAGCAGTGGCTGCCCAGCAGCTCCGACCTCTAGAAACTCTCTGATGATCTTCGGTCTTCAAAATAGCACAGTAATCTTGGCCGAAACCTCAGGGAATATTGAAGAGTTTCTGACACTTGTCTGCTTGCTTTTTGATCCCTTTGATATCTTCAAATGAGAGCGCAGCCCATCTTTGGGGCTTGGACCGCCTGTCGCTTGGACAATACAATCAGTTTGCAGTTGGAGGCGTTCCACAAGGGCGGCTTGGTGCCAGAAGCTGGCGAAACGGGACTTGAAACATGTTGCCACACACAAAGGTGCAGCTCACAGGCTCAACGCTCCTTGGAAAGGCTTCGCACAGAAAATAACCCGCGTCCCCTCTGCCACACATCTTCTTTCAGCTGAACATGTCTTACATCTGAGTGCTTCGCTGTTTCTAGCCACTTCAAGAGTACCTCACCAAGCGCGTAGCATGGGCCATTGAGACCACAAATCCAGTGTACCGAAAGGGCAACATAATTTCATGTTCCCTGGATCAATGACCATAGTATGCCATAGAGTCAAGGGGATGGCATCTCAACACCCACTTTGCCTTTATTGTTTTTTGTTTTACTTTTGCCACCACTTTGCAGGGCTACTTGCGACCCCACCACAGTGCCCTGAGCCTCTCGTGCTCGGCTTACTTCCAAGAAGCGCTCATGCCTGGCAACTCCCACGGCCATCGAGACCATCATTTTGCCCGCTCACAATTCCAGATTCCAGACTTATATAATATGCGCAAAACTTGGAATGCTGGGAAACCGAAAGCCAGGGCATGTTCAGAAGTCCAAACATCCAACTTTATCGTGATCTGCGCATGAGGGGTCAGGGGCCTTCCAGTTCGCAAGAATGCGTTAAAAAAGTTGGAGCTTTGCGCGACGTCTTGCAAAGCAGAGTGTCCCCTCCTTTAAGGTATAATCTTTTCATTGGATCGTTTTTGGTACAAGGAACTGTTTTCCAGACGATTTGCTTTTCAAAAAGGTGTTTTTCGTGTGAGGCCATCACCAAAAAAGAAATTGCAGCATGTACATGTCAAAAGGCGGCTTGAAGGTTTAGAATTTTAATGGTTCTTGCTCGCTGGTCCACGCAAACCATCTTTGTTTATCATGTGGGTTTGGGTGATGTCGGGTGAGGTGATATCCATGCTATATCATAACCCACGTTTGAGTTATCGTTTTTTTGCAGGAAGGGCGCCTAACCATGAAGTAGGCGGACTGCCATTACTCGTTGTTTTTGATAGTTGAACCTCCCAACAACCACTGAAATCACCTACGCCAAAATCAAGTTTCCAGGAGGAGGGATGGAACACAAGGAGAAGATGATTCCCAACTGAGCAAGTGAACCAACTCGTGCCACCGGGGACCGCCCGGCGCATCCTCCCTGCAAAAAAACCGAGGCTTGAAACATGGGTTATGATATAGCATGGATATCACCTCACCCAACATCACCCAAACCCACATTATAAACAAAGATGGTTTGCGTGGACCAGCGAGCAAGAACCATTAAAATTCTAAACCTTCAAGCCGCCTTTTGACATGTACATGCTGCAATTTCTTTTTTGGTGATGGCCTCACACGAAAAACACCTTTTTGAACAGCAAATCGTCTGGAAAACAGTTCCTTTTACACCAACAAAGTTCCAATGAACAGATTATGCCTTCTTTGTGAAAAAAGGCACCTTGTCCTGCACAAAACTCTGCAAATAAAGGTGTTTATTGCATGCAACGCAGCGAAGACGCGGTGGAACTGTGTGTACATGTGCGTACTACTATTCATTATTCAAATCTTTCTCGCCAGGGCACTCACTAAACACCAAACTTCTGCCAGTTGGGTGGCCCAAAAACATGTTCAAAGCCGCTGGTTGCGTGAAGAAGGTGGCTAGGGCCTCCATATTCACCATTCATGGAACTGCTTCTCCGAAACAGCAATGCCACATTTTTGGGGCAGTGCACAACATCCTCCGCAGCCCTTCTGTGAGATAAGGCACGATGTCGTTCACCAAAGCACGGCAAACAATTACAGTACTTTTGTCTGTTGCATGCAGAGCATCACCATGTGGTGTACTGGACCCTGTGGTGTAACTTTGCTTTTGCAAGGACGCTACTAGGGGCTCCTGGCATAGGAGCAAGGACGCTAGGAAAAGGGCTTGGCACTTAAAACAAGTCGGGTGCACGCATCGGGATCCGGCGACTTGTCTGGGTGCAGCCTGTGGCCAAAGGGTCAGCCTCTCATAGTGGGCTTTTTTGATTGCCCCAAGGGTTTGCAAAAGATCAGTGGGTGGGTTTGGACATTACAAGTAAAGCATACAAAGTTGTGCCTTTTGTAAGAAGCGCTCAGCTTGCTTACCAAATTCACCTAATCCCTAGGAGCATGCGTCTCGGTGAAAGGGTCAAACGGAATCAGAAAGGCGAGGACACTGTTTGATATGTCCACTGCTCTCTGCATCACAAAGCTTTCTTCATCTCTGAAAAGACAACTTGCAGGGTAGGATTGAACATATTGAGCCATGTTAAACCAATCGCATAATTTAGCAACGATTCACTTCCCACAAGCCAATATGCAACAGACTTGCTTCTTTGGGATCAGTATCATCTTCTATAGAACACCAAAGTCTACTCAATTCTTAATCAAGCTTGATGAACAAACATGCAGCCCCTTGAATCAGCACATTCCAAGAACAAGGCCACATGCTGCCATGTTCAAGTACGTTGCAGTGCCTTCAATAGGCTTCCTGCACGGTGCTTACTGCACTGAGGGATCCCGGCGGTGCACACCTTTTGCGGTACATAGAATCCACCTGCATCTCAGGAATTTGAATGACAACAAAGGGTGTCTGCGGCTGGGATTAGCCATTGCGCAACTCTCTCTACCAAACTTAAACTTAAACATGTTTGAGCTGCCAAAATAGAACGCTTGACAGGCAACAAGCCATGGATCAAGATTCTTATCCCAAGCACAAACAATACTTCTCCATGCATCCTTCCTTCCTTGTATCTTTACTGCTCAGCGTGCTCCCTCCTGTGTTCTGTGCTCATAGCCAGATTGACCGCAAGATCTAATTATTCCAAGCAAAATTAAACGTCTCCTTTGGCCAATACCATAATAGGTTCCTTCCATAAATTAACCAATGACTTCATCCTTGATGGCATCCGCCTCCCGGCGATCCTTGGGAAGGTAGTGCTCACGAAATCCAAGCCTCATGTTTTGAACTGCATCACGGCAGTGAGTCCACACCGTTTTCTGGTCCAAGGCTTTGGGACCAAATGAGTGTAGAAAGCCTAGCTCAAAAGGTTAACAAATTTCAACACAGCCACTTGGTTGATCCTTGGCATTGCTTACTCATGCCAAGATTAAACCAGTACAGAGTAGCCAGGTCGCACAATTGCACTCAGCTTCAAACATGGCGGCTGCCTCCTCTGCATTCAGTGAAAGCTTCCTTAGTCTGAGCGCTACTTTTGTGAAGTTCTCTTTCCTGAATGATTAAGATGACCAAAGCGGGACTGGCCTATGTAGGTTTAGAACCCGAAGTCCAGGTATGCTACACTTTCACACGCTTTCATGTTGTACACCAAAACCTCACCTGCTCCTGTTGCTGCAGCTGATTTGTTCACAAACACCCATACAATGTGCACGCGAGCATCCCTCGCTTGGCGTTGAATTCTGCGATCCGGTCACCGTATTCCTGGCCCCAACCCAGCTGTATCGAAACAGTTCATGGCAGTTTTGATATGAGACAAAACCAACAAGCACCCTTTGCATGCGGCTGAAGAAACTCCATCGGTCCAGGTATACTATGCTGTCGTACGTTTTCATCTCTGGGCACCTTTGTGTAGTCCTTCACCCATTGCTGGGCACCATCTTCTGAATACCTGGCCGCAGCTTGTTCCATCACGCATACATATAAAAGGAAATATATATTATATATATACACAACATATGGTAATCCCCCTCCCTGGTGCCTATGCTTTTGGGAAATGGACGCGCTTTGCGCAACTTCCAGGGGGAAGGTACCACACATGTATGCACGTCACAGAACATGTTCAACAGATTTCAACAATAAATCAATTGTCTCGGAGTGTGCCTCTGCATCACATTACTGTAATCAGCATCAAAATCCAATCCAAAACCAATGAGAGCTTGTAAAGAACCTCAAGACGGTACCAAATACCAAACTGCCAAATCGAACAACTTCAGTTTGATGTTCAATGGGACTTCATTGCAACGAGTAGCAAACTTTTGTTGCTGCCTTTCAAACATATAATCTACATGAATTCAAGAGATTGAACGATTTTCTTTTACAAGAATCCTATTCTGATCTAAGGGCGGTAGAGCGCTTGCAATTTAATGTATCAACTGTGCGCACACTTCTTTCTCAATGTGTTGCAAGGATTGACCTTCTTTTGTGCGGCAATTGTTCAATGGAATTGGTTTTGTAAGAGCAAGTGTAGGTGATACTTGCTGCTTAATTGCAAGTTTGGCGCATTGTGGATGTTATTGAAAGGACAAGGCTGCTACAGAACATTTTCTAACACCATATGCGGTAGACAGGGATACTTACAACTGTGCTATCATGATATGGGGCTCATACTGGGAAAGGCGCCTTTTGTGTGCTAAGGCTTATGGTAGAGCAAGGCTTCCTTGATGATACAGGACAAGGGTTTAGTGCTGGGGCTCAAGTGAAGGACACTTCTTTTAAAGGCTCCTACGCTGATCAAAGGGTGGCAGGGCGTTCATTTGAAATGCGTCAGGTTTTGTTCACCTTTCCTACTCAATTTGTTGTAATTAGATACATACACATATATATATAATATTTTTAGTTGCAAAGAAAAATCATGGTCCTGGTTGCAGTGGCTCGTTTAAGCATGGCGGGAGATGTTACAGCGGTTTGCACCTGAGTCATCGGTACCGGGGGGAAATATACAAATGTATATATATATAAAATACTATAGTAAAGTATACACACATAAACACACTCAAGATATTGCGTACTGACTCGATTGTGGTTTGCCACTCGCCAGCCTAAGTGAAACCCTAAGGGGCCAGGTCAGGATAGGGAAAGGCGGTCTGATCATCCTCAAGTCTGAACAAACTCAAATTGTGAAAGCTTCCAAGTTCCAAAGCTCAAGGACACGAAAGACGGTCGACGGCGCGTGCAAGTCTGCAGACCTCGAAGTCACCTGAAACAGCCTGGTCATCTAGAGGAGGAGGTAGTTAGTCAACATCACAACCATTACAAGAGTTGGCGTCCCAACTCTCTTCCAACTGATTTCCGTAGCTTCGTTGGCGCGTATAGGAAATCAGTCTCCGTGCCCCCTGCTGAAAACAAAAAGAAAACTCAACAGAATCCCTATGAGTCCAAGGGGTACACACACGCACACACTTCACACAGCAGATCTTGCGGTTCTATGGCAAATCGCAGGATTAATCCAAGACGGCCCAAAGCTTTCTTCGATGCACCATGGAGGTACTAGAAGGTGAGACTGGACAATTCTCATACTTGTCCTGATGTCTGAGAATTGTTCTATGATGCTACAAGTGCAAATGCAGTGGCAGCCACAAGTGCCTCACAACTCAAAGAGTTTGAAGTATTGCAGTAAGTATTCACTTTGTCATTCAGACTCGTTAAGAGTGGTGTTGTCCTCATTTTATGTTCATCACCATTCTACAATAAACCCGCCTCTTGCAAAAGCCACATCTCATCCCATGCTCATCGTACCTGGTCTGCTGACTCAGTGCAAAGAAGACTTCCAGTCACATTGAGACTGTCAAATAATCCATGCATGCTCCTATAACTGACACGTGTTGTGAAAGAGGCAAAGACACAAATGATAGGCTGATACGTTTTTGCGCATTGTCGCTACTGCCAAATTAGTGTGCGCCTATAATCTCCTAGCCTCGAGTCCAACTTGTTGTCGCAGTGACTTCCTTAAATTGATCGGCTACATTCACCTATTGAACTGATAACGAACCCACACCTAAATTGAACGAATAAAACTGGGGTGATCCAGTGTGATCTTAGACTATTCATATTGCATGCAGTTTTGAAAACCAAGCATTGCCAATTGATTTGGTCTGATTCCTATCTTTTCACTAGGCCACTGGATCTCGGATTTGATCTGCCCTCCTTCGAAGTACTCGCGCCAGTGCCCAGCCTGGCAAGCTTGTGAAGTGCTGCGAAGCAGCAGAATGAGATATATAAACTTATATAAGAACAAATAACCCAAAAAAATACAAGAATGTAGGGTGTGGTCGGGATTGGGCACAAGTCATCCCTTGGCCATCTGGGGTGGGGGAAACAAATGGACAACACAAAGAACATCTTAAACTCGAGCTAATGGGGCTGTAGGCTTTGCAATTGCATGGCTGCAGGTCCAACAGTACCGAAAAAAATCCTAAGCAGCCGAGACTGTCCGGAACCTTGGGTTTCCGCAGCTTGATCGACTGTCTTAAGTGTGACCGTTGTAAGTTGGCGGCGCAACTCTACAGCAATGTTGTTCTTTCCGCTCTCTTTTTGACTGATGGTAAGCCGCATGTGAATATACAGTAACATTAAATGTGACCCCTAAGGCACCAAATGGCTACCCACATCTTTCCATCAGCCAGTTGTGTGGGTCTCTCCGTTCCTGCCACCAGAAAGAAAATGTCCAACACTTTAGCATGGTACGGTATGGTGGCCTTGCGTGATCTCATTGTGCGTTCATCCTCGACAAAAAACCTCGCATCGACTTGGCGGTCACCGGCATGAATGAACACCAGAATGCAATTTCCTTTCCCTTCAGGTCGTTTGGGGTTAGGATTTGGACACTGGACACTCAAAGCCTCAAAGCTATTATCCTAAATTACGCATAAAGAGTAAAGCTGTATTCTCTGACTGCAGTCTTTTGGAAAGAACACGTGCGCAGGGTCCACATTCACCACGCACACACACTTATAGAAATGCGAACTGATGTGAATGCGGTGCCACACGCCAGCCTAAGTGAAAAACCTAAGAAACCAGGGTGAGTAGAGGGAAAGCTCCACAAATCTCCAAAGCTGAAAGTTCTGAAGTCGCCAAAGCTCAACGACGGTGAGGTCAGCACTAGACGATTACTGCGAAACACAGAATTGGAACAGCTTGTCCACTACGTAGGTTTCCTTCCAAGCAGGTTCGTCAATCCGGCGTCCCGGATTGATTTCACAGATGCAACACTGGCGTCTTCGTTGGTGCCAGCAGTACAATCCGGGTGGATCCCTGTGACTTCAAGGGCACGCACACACGCCTCCCCAAGGGGAGGCAGCTCTGACCTAGTAGCGTCCTTGCACCTAGTAGTAAGGCCAGGAGCCCCTAGTAGCGTGCCACTCTAAGGTCCCGGCAGGGGGGAGGGGTAGGGAGAGAAGAGAAGAAAGAAAAAGAAGAAAGGAAAGGAAAAGGTGTTGTTCCCAGCTACGACACAAGCGTCCAAGGACACACCAAGAGAGGAAGAGAAGGGTTCCCAGCTATGACGAAAGCATCCAGGGACACCCAAAAGAAGGAAGAGGGAAGAGGGAGAGAGGAAAAAGAACGAAAACCGGTGTTCCCAGCTACGCGCAAGCGTCCAGGGACACACCAAGGCGAGGGGTATACCTGAGTGTTGCATTCAGGAATACCCCGAAAAAGGAAGAGAGAAGAAGGGGAGGGTAGGGGGAGGAAGGGGACTAAGGTCCCGACAGACTCCAACGAGTCTTGAACATGCTTCGGCCGCGCTGCGGCCACGTACACCGTGCCAAAATGGCTGGCTGCTTAGACCCCTGCGGTCACGTAGAGGCATGAGCCAGCTTGGAATTCAAAAAATTCGACAGAAATCTGAATTCCCTCGGCCTAGGCCACCTTCGCCCGCTCTGGGCACGTACATCTCCGGGTAGGGGAGATAAAGACAAACACCCGTTCGACGGGTCCACAAGGGCCACTCTTCGGGGTCACCCTGGGCTCTCACTAGGAGAGACACACTTAATAGAAATGCGACCTGATGTGAATGCGGTGCCACACGCCAGCCTAAAACCTACGCAGCCAGGGTGAGTAGAGGGAAAACTCCACAAATCTCCAAAGCTGAAAGTTCTGAAGTCGCGGTCTCCAAAGCTCAACGACGGTGAGGTCAGCACTAGACGATTACTGCAAAACACAGAATTGGAACAGCTTGTCCATTACGTAGGTTTCCTTCCAAGCAGGTACGTCAATCCGGCGTCCCGGATTGATTTCACAGATGCAACACTGGCGTCTTCGTTGGTGCCAGTAGTCCAGTGTGCATCCCTGGCACCCCCTGCTGAATTAGAACATTTAAAGTCGCATATTGTCATATTGAATCATATTGATGCATATTGGTAGTGTACACTCTTATGGTGCGTGATGATTGGTTGATTAAACTTCGACGGCAAACGGCCACTGATCGTAAAATAGCATAGGTACTCAGCACATATATAATAAGAACAATTAGACGTAGCTCGCCACACTTTGCTGCTCTAGGTTTCGTGGCAGCTGCAAAGGGATGCAAGCCACAGCTGGAATGTGCTTCTCTCTCTCTCTCTATCCAGGTACAAGCCAGTCATCATCACAGAGTGGAGACAATGCAAAGCCAGGGAACAGCTTCTCTGATTTCAGCCGCTGATTCTCGTAGAAGTGCTTCCGGCTAAGGTAAGGCTGGCCAGAAGGTGGACATGGGCTCAAACTCTATTGATTCAGATTCTCCAGAGCAAATAATCAACAATCAGCATGAACTTTAACATCCAGATTTGAAACTACGTACGAACTGGGTTTCTTCTTGATGGCCATTCCACACCAAAGAGACAAAGCTTGAACACGAACCCTGACAAGCTACTTTGGACATCTTTCAACATGGTCAGCAAACTAGCCTAGCAAAACAAGAAGTCACGGAGCAATGACCCGCCAGCTTGGAGAATGGATGGAATGGACATTGATGATATTGTGACTTGCTGAACCCGGCACCTGGCCCAATGCGAAATGGACGTCAAGCCGACACACACCTGGATGGCACGGGCTCATGGCTCATGGAGCCAAATTCCAGCCCCAAATCTGTCCTTTGCTGCGTCTTGAACACTTCCGGAAGACAAGTTATAGCATATTATAGCTGCTTCTCAACAACTAACAAAGAAATCAAGGTATAAGTATACAATGCAAATTATTGCACCTTCCTTTCGCTTTCGCCGTTATATAATAGTATCGCACACACAATTGAGTTCAGCGGAAAGTGCTCAGTGCTTTGAGGTCCAACCAAGCAATATCTGGCGTAGCTGTTGTAGCAATAATTATATAATGCTGAAGTAATCTAAAGTATCATAAAACAACATCAAGTGAGTTCGCCACACTTGACAAACAAAAACAGCAAATGCACCGCCAACATCGAAGTGCTTCTCTTCAATGACACGTTCGCATGATCGCCTGAGACGTTCCAGAATGAGTTGGACCTTGACCACCTACACAAAAGGAATCGAGTATGCAGTATTGCTCAACCTTGAACATTGAATCAAAAAGTGTCAAACGACACTGTCTTCAACCGATCATTCAAATTTTATTCATCGAAGTCATGCATCTTGCGCTTGGAGGCGACCAAAGTTACATCTAAAAAAAGGGAAAAATAAGAGAGACCAGCGAGACCCCAATCACGATGACATTTCTTGATATGTCTGGTCTGTGTTCCACCTTTGAAGCAATGCAGTCTAGTACATATGGTACACGTAATTGTTGTTTGGCAAAAGAACGCACGCAACCAAGTACCGTGCTCACAATAGGAAGGCGGTTTCAGGGATGGCCTCTGTTTCTCAATTCCCTTGACTACAAATCATACAGTAGATCTTCTGATTTCCTGAGGATCTATGAGGATCTGATCAGCACAATCTTCAAAGCATCTAACAACAAACGAAGCATGGTGAGATTCCGAGTAGACTATAGACTTTCGACCTCATCCTCTAATGAAAGTCCACGCAGTTGAGTCCAAAGTGGCTGGGAGACTGTGGCAGGAAGACGCATGTAGGTCCTGAAGTACCTGCAAGTGTGAGCAGGTTGCAAGCGAGGTCAATAGTCAAGTGTGGCCGTGGTGAGATGTGCGAGTGCTTATGATTGGCTGACCTGAGGCTTGCAATGTCAACGGATACTCGGGTGATCCACCAGATTTTGACAAACACAGGTGTCAGCATCCAGCCAAACTGACTATCATCGAGAGGACGACTATCGAGAGGATATCACCCAAGCCTTGTTATCTGATGTTATCTGGACTTCTGAGGGACTTTCCTAATCACAAAGCGGTCGCTTCACTAAAACATACAAGAACTAAGGACTATCAAACACTAATTATTTCACTTGTCTGGAACCTGGTCAAATTATTAACACTGTCTGAAGTCTGAAGGTTCCATCCAAGGCAGGGGAGTAAAACAAACTATATCGTACTACTGTGCTTATTCTGCCCTTACAAGTCGAGTCCCTCTGGTCGACCCTCCGGTTTTCAAGCTTCCCGTGTTCCGGTACACAACGCCATTCCATCCCAATTGTTTCTAGTTTGTCGCCTCTGCGAAGGATCGTGGTCTTGCCCCGCGTATACGGCGTAGAGTTGAGTGGCATCGTTCTTTTTCAACAGCTCAAACAGTCCACAGCTGCTTGGCGCACTTGGGATTTCCATTGTCATGGTATTGTCTTTCCTTGGCAGTGAGAACGAGTGACACAGAAAATATTGGTGCTGCTTTGGGGAAAGCGACTCTGGAACCCATGATGATATGTCCAAGCATCCGTGTACAAGCGACCATCTGTTTCGTCTGCATCTGAGTCATCCTGACAGGACAACAAGTCCAAAGCCTCAAAAAGCATCATAGCACTCATGCAATGTCTACAGCCAAAAGGTGGATTTCTGTCATGAGCAAGCAAGACTGCTGTGAATCTTGATAAGCCAACAATATGCCATATGCGTACGATTATGCGTACGATTCAAAGGAGCCTACTATTGAACCCTAAACATGTAAACACGACATGTCCTTGCACATATTCCTTGCTACTTAAGAAAGTACAAAGTTCTATATTGCTGTGGACATGGGATTCTGGGGACTACTCTTTGAGTTGCACTCTGAGGAAGTAAGAATAAACCTACTATTCCAAGAACTACATTTCCTTTGAGAATGCATCCCTGGGCACCGACAGTGTGACATACACAGTAAACTCAGTAAACAGTAATCTAAAGATTATGTCCGAGTCGCCACACCAGGCACCCTGGCATACCCTGGCATCGCTACTAGGAGCAAAGACATTACTAGGGGCTCCTGGCCGTATTACTAGGAACAAGAAGCTACTAGGGGCATCGCTACTAGGGTATCCCAAAGTCCCCACCTCCTCGCTGTTGTAGCCTTGGGATAGCATCACCTGCGCCCAGCGTGAAAGAAACACGCTGGAAAACATCTGTTGATGTGATCGAAGCATGGGGTCTGCAACTCTGCATTGCAAACCAAGCTGTTCAACAAATCGCCTGACACAAAAACGGTCAAAGCAACATCAAACACATCCTGGCCAGGTAAAACGATATGCTGGCCAGTTGGTAAAAGACTGTCGTAACGGCCCCTTGCCCTTGAGGCCCTGACATCGGTTCGATGCCTGGTATAGATCCTGGCCAATTGCAGCTCCTCCAAAGAGCTCCTGCACCGCTTTAGGTCTGAAGCCCATATCCCTTTGGATTGATTTTTTAAAAATCCCGGGGGGTAGACCGTGTGGAGGTGAGGTAGGTAGGTAACGGTAGCTAGTAGCTTGAGTAGCTACGGACGCGGATAGCTCATGCTTCTTCAAGGAAGCTCCCCCCCCGCGGCCCTAAAGGCGGCGGGGGAAGCTTCCTTGAAGAAGTGCTTGCACTAATGATTTGGTTCCTCAATTTTTAGGGAAACTTACTGTAATATCATCTGGAAGAACAACCATGCGCAGCACATGCAATGAACGTACCTATGTTGCATCGAACCAAGCTACGTTGTCGGCCTCCCAACAAGAAAACAATTGAAAACAGCGGCCTGGGTTTCGACCCTTGTTTAAAACAAAGGCTAGGATGAGGCACACCTGTGTAAGTCCAGCAGGCCATTTGCGCCAGGCACGGCCAGTTGCTCCTCAACGACATACATGTGTCGTTAGTTTGTCATGAAGTGTTTCTTGTTTGCTTTGTGTTGTTTCTTGGCTTCCAACACGTCTGCATGACTTCCTCCCCCGAACCTTGTGATTGCATTTCAATGGCTGAAACTGCTTAGAGTCTAATCAAATGAATCGTATAAAATTCATATACAGTATATATATATATATTTTTTTTATACACATACACATACATACAAAGAATGTTTGTCGCGCATCTCCTGCATATGACCGCAGGGCTTCACGCTCTGTTTTTGTCCAAAAACATGTTTTGGATACCTGAAGCTCAAAAACCTCCTTAATCACATATACTCCATTCCTGTGAACACAATGTCAAACAAGGTCTTGAAGGACTCCGTGCGCGCGTCCTTCTTCTCATTATATCCTTGCAACATGAGGGCAGCGCTCGGGTGACGGCATCCGATGCTCTGCTCCAAGTCCCAGGGTTGCTGTGAAAGTATGCCTTCTCAACTTCTTCCTACAATCAAATGGCGCTCAAATGCCTTATGATGTCTGATTGTCTTTGAAATCTGATCATTACATCTGATATTTACAGTAGCTGGTTGCATACTGCCTGGGCATTTCTTTTTCTCAATTGATGTGGTGCTTTCAAGCCAAGGCCAACAGCAATCTCATGTGCAACGGAAAGAAACGTCTTGGAGGCTTTCATGCATCTCGGTGCCTTCAGCTAGCTGTCCCGCAGGTTTACAGTACTGGATAACAGGATCTAGCTGAAATGCATGAAAAGCAATTCAGTTGGGACTCAAAGTGGCATGACGATACTCTCCAAGTTTGAGTGGTTCTATATATTCAAAATTGGAAGATACATTTCATTTCAACAAGTGGAAGTGAATTCTTCGAAACACTTGTTCCAATCAGCTTGGGAAAAAAGGCAGTGCGTCTCCACACAACTTTTTCATTGGTGTGCTGAGGTCAGTGGCAGCGGGCCTGAGCAAAACATCTTTTCATCTATCATCTAGCCAAACTGAAATAATGCACAATTGAGGCACTCTGGCCTGAGATAACCAATATTCGTTTGCATCTCCAAAGAATCATGAGGCTGCAACGAAGCCTTGGCAACTATACTATACTTGGTGGAAGAAACAATCCCACACTAGTATCAATAATAGTACATATATGCTGAACAAGATCCTTCATGTGTCATGCCAAATTGTTCAAGTAGCTCTTCTTTGTGTCCAAACCAGCTTCTGGCCCCAAAAAACCTCTTCTCACAGTGCCTCTACTGAGTCATGAATCATAGTCCTTGACATCGGGAATACTTCTTTTGAAGACTTCACCTGGCCAAGATCCCAAGTCCAGATTCTTGCAACTACCGAGCAAACCTTGTACAATTACAACATGTCGTGGCCGATGTGACTTGTGCAGGTTGGTATTGAGACTCTACCTATGGCATTACATCCGTAGACGTAGATCACGAATCATGTACTGGCTGGGATCATCAAGCATAGTTGCATCCGGATTATGGATGTGCTTTATGACTTGCTTGCCTCCCTACTGTTCAACCACAACGGTGTGCTTTTGGCATGCTGGCCAGGCCAGGGAAATACACGCCTGTCTCTGAACTTATGGACTTCAGATTTTAGCAAGCATGGAACCAGGCTTTGTTGTGGGAAAGTATCTTGGTTCCATATCCCCACGGTTTGAACGCCAGAGATCAAGGAAGGCATTGTGGCATTCACCAGGACCAGTCACAACCACACAAGTATAGCCATGCACTATATGTTTAACATATATATAATATAATATTGTATAATGCATGTGCGCTCCTGACTCCTGGCATCGCCCCTCAAAATAGGCCGGACGGACGGAACATCTCCTGGGCTGACATCAAAATGAAGCAATTGGGCTAGAATCCAAATGGTACTTCTTTAAGGGCCTGCAAGTGCATTCGCAGAATATCATTTTCCTGGATCATGTCGTTTACCTTGAGAATAGATCGATGCGAGGCGTACTTCAAACGACCTTCTTCTGCAATCGACGATGTTAAAGTGACATCTCTGGGTAAATCTCATGCCTAGGAGTTGCAAGTGCAAAAGCTCTAATAAGACTCCAACTTATCGTTTTTTGGTCTAATAATGGGAAGCTTGACAAGGCCAAAGCAAGGCCCAAACAAGGATTGAACGAGGACTGGGAGTGCCCACTAAAGATACTAAAGGTGTCTCGATTTTCCCCAGCCTTGACTGCAAATGCTCCATGGGAACTTTCTAGGATAGCAATTGCAAGCTATCACTGACAATCGATGCGAACCCACCAGAACTAGAATCCCAATGGATTGATTTCTGCAGATGTTCAGAAATCGACACAATTTCAATCGGCGGTAAAACAGGTTGATGTTTTGCCAAAACCTTTGGGCATGCAATATTCCTAGCAGGCATGCACAAGTCTGAAAGTACATACAGGAAGTAGCCAACTTCGTCCATGGCCAAGTCGCATAATTCTGATCCTCCACGCTAAACTGAGGGATGGCAAAATGAACTTCTTTGTAGCCCCTGGCCAAAAATGCTTCGCCACTGAAACTGACACAAGACCAAAATTCAATGAGTCTATAGCAGTACTGACAAGGAACCAAATCAGGATTGGCTTCTATTTATTTATATAATTCTATTTGGTTTGAACTACGAGTACCTATATAATTAGCCTATATGTACCTATACATTTGCATCATTCTGCAGCATAAAGCACCACTGGCTGGGTCTGAGTGATCTGAGCCCCCCTTTTGGTCTGCGACAGTGGCAACACGTGGCAACTGTGACAACCAAATCTCCAAAGTCTGGCTATATTCCAGGGGTCAGGACCCAACCCAACCCACCCTGTTGTCCAAATGCTGCCAGCCCGGCTGTCCAAGTCCATCTTCCACCAAGGCTTTGATGAACAGTCCGGCTATCTGCACTGGATTTCCACCTGGCAAAAAATGAACAAATGAAGCCGCTGCTGTATTTGTGGTTTTGAAGACCTTTAAATCATCACAGATTGCAAAGCCATGTCAAAAGAAAGATTCAAAAGGCCATAGATACGCCACAAACAAACCAGTAGGATTGATTTGAAGCCCTGAGATGTCTCACTGATGACAATCCAGCTGAAACCTCGTATGATCTGAGAGGGCGTTTACTTTTTGCTGCTTGAGTACACTTAAGTTGTATCCTCAATAAATCGTTTCTCTGGAGCTTGCGAAAACAGATCCTTCACAGTAGAGCTAGCAGCTACAGTAGTTGCATGAAAATCGTACTTGGACACAAACCTCTACACCGGTGGACTAAAAATGGTCAGAATGAACGGCATCAAAAAGCATCGTGAAGCCAATTTTGCTGAAGGAACCAAATGCTCCGCAGCCCCAAGCACCCAAGACCAGCGTGTCAATCGCGCCTTAAAACAGGCCGCTTCACTCTGATAACTGTTTTCCATTTAGTGACGTGACAGTTTGTACGAGGATGCTAAACATGACGAGGCTAGCAAACCCGACCTGGACCTTAGGCTCCTCAGGTCCTATAGGTATCCAGCCCGAGTTGAGCAGCATATCTTCATGCAAGAATGATCGACCACAACTCCAAAGCATGTGTATATATATATATACTGTATATATGCTTGAACCTTTTTATTATGTATCATTTTACAATACAGTATCTGCTTCTAAATCAGGGGGCTGAACATTCTTTCAGTACTGCCCCCACTCTACCTTTGGATCCCTTTGGCACAATACCAGTTGACAGAAGCAACTCCCCTTTTTCTGAAGGCACTCCAGCGACAAATGGATGCACACTCATGAAATTCTCGGTTCACTACACTCTACCTTGGCTAAGCCCATCTACGTCTAGGCATCCCGACCACTCTCGGCCACATGGGGTGCGTTGAAAATTGTCATCATGGTCCTGCATTCAACGGACTCTAAGCGGGCGGGCAGTGACTCACGTGCTTGCTTTTAACTACTACCACCACACTGACCCACTCAAAACTCCGGCCCGATGGCAAGTACAGGCAAGGACCGGTTTGGGTCTTGTCTACTGTATCCAAAAAACAATGCAAAAAGCCCCTTCGCCACAAGGCCGAATTGGCCTTGTTTAATGTAGGAATGGCTGGGTGAGTTAATGACATGCACCTTTTACATTTCAAGTTGCTTTACGACAAACACAACTCACCAGGTTCCCAAAGAATCCAACATTCTGATAAGTTATGCAGGGTTCATACATATTTCTCAAGGATTTCACACGTCCAAGGAGTTACCAAACGTCCCTATTTGAGTCAGGCCGGGGAGGACAAAAGCACGGAATCTGTTGCGAAGCATCTGAGAGCAGCAAACAATATCACTCGTATGAGCTGCAACAGGTTGCACGTCTGGCACTCTGGCACTTTGCAGACTGTTGCATGAGCCTTCCTTTATCTTGATTTCATGCACCATTGAATTGTTCACACCAGCAAGCCTGGAGGCATTTTTTGATTCAGAGTCTGTGCCTATCTGTGTTTCTTGGTTGCGGAAAGGACGTCCGAAAGAGACTCTTGATATGGGTCACATTAGCTAGTGCACGCACTGGGTGACACAACGGCCGCTCCTGTAAATCAGCTTTTCATCGTTGACCTGGTCCATGCAGTCACCCGCTCTGCAAAAGGTCTTTGATGTATTCGGCAAAACTGGCTACTCCCTCCATCACGCATCCCTCGCAGAAAGCTCTTAGTGAAAAAATATATTTGCTCTCTCAAGGTTCGGCTCTGCGGTTTGGGATTAGTCCGATGCTAAACTTGAGCTTGATCTTAGCACTATGTGGAGTATGCACACTCCTCTTAGGGTCTGACCTTCACCCAAAGGTCAAGTGAAACACCACACTTTTCTCTTGTTTCCACTTGCTGCATGGAGCAAGGAGATTCTTCTTTCCATGAAGCCTCTCTTGGTGTCCTACAGGATGGTTCAAGATTGCACTGCTGCCAAGCGACATCCTTGCTGAACTTGATGTTTGGGGCAGCTGCTGCAACTAAAGACCTGACGAGCAGCGACCCTTTCCATGGAGGCGTCGTCTCTGGTCTGTCTATTCCTCACTGTGGGATTAGAGGCCGGATGAGGATTGAAACCCCAAACATAATGATGGTAGGTTGCTTGGACTGAGATACAGGAATGTTGCGATGGACAGCTGATGCAAAAGATGAGCAAACACTGATTCCAAATAGCTGGTGAAGCGGATCCAACCTTGTTGGATATGTTGTCAGCGGTCCGTCAATAAGATGCGTGGGCTACAACAAATCTGACAAGTGCAAAAAAACACGATTCACTAGAATTATAAGAAGATATCTGCGCTCCCTGAATAGGCACAAAGTTGAAAACAACAACTTGAGAAAATTCAGAGTACGACGATGACGATGGAGATACTAGTTCCACTATATTATATAACTACATATTACACTGAAATCGCGAAACACAACTAAATGAAAACAATGCTTTCGCCTTGCTTCTACCAACTTGCTTAAAGCCAACCATCCCACAGGCCCCACACCCATCCAAGGTGCTCACACTGTGACCTGTTCTGAGGGTTTCAAGATCCGGAACCTGAATGCGAAGCAAGAGTAGCTCATGTCATTTGGGTGAAGGCGGTCGGCGGTAGAAGTCCATTGGCAAAGCTTGATGGAAATGCTTCTCGGATGCGAACCCCGACATGCCAGTCTGGCTTCTGGCTGGATGCAAACAGCACTGAGTAGTCAGAGTAGTCCAAGGGCTCACAAAGTTCTTTCCAGCTATGTTCTCAGCATGCATCATCATTGACGACTACCTCCAAATCAAAGGCTTCTTTGACTTTGCCTAGCTCTTCCTCTCGCTCTGGACAAACGACACCCGTGGCTGCACAAACGACACTCGTGGCTAAACTGGGGGCTTCACCCTTCTTCTGCCCCGGCGCGTCCGATGGTCAGGTTGCCCGTGTAAAGGACGTCGCTGTATTTCCTTCAAAGAAGACTTGGGAGCTTGGCAGAAGGTTGTACACGAGATCGTGGGAAAGCACAACACTTGATGCACCCAAAATGCAGCGATCAATGACAAGCCATGCATGCCGGCCCGCACAACAATATTTTTTGGATGCCCTTGCAATCTTGCAACGACGTTGCCACACTTCATCGTTTCAAGCCCTGAAAGTTTATAACATGCCGGCAGCACTCCGGCTTCCGCGGTGATGAGCAGGTGGGTGGACCAAAAGGGTAAAGATCTTGGCAGGACAGTAATGGCGAGTTTGGGGAACAAAATGGAGTCACCTAACTTAGAGACTCTTAGAGACCTATTTAAATGCCATTCAGCCCTTCGTACCTAACCTCAGGGCCATCCTTGCAACGCACAAACACCGTCGGTGTCTGTGTGCATCTGTGTGCTCGGAACCATCAAAACATCACCAAGCCTTTTGGGCTTTCACAACTCCAAGGCCAAGGCCACTCTTCTGCGCATTTATCAATGACGAGTAAAGCAATGGAATTTGCCTGATGGCAGCAGGGCCCATGTGGATGATTGCTCCACGTGTGCAAACCTCTAAACTCAACAAAATCCTCCTAACCCATTGCTTGCTGTGCATTCCATCTTTGTCTTGGATTATATAAACATTTTCCATACATTGGCAAGACATAGTCCAGTGTTGTGGGTTGAGAACTCTCCAATGTCGAGGGCAATCCACTATCATCAACTTCAAGGCAGCGATCCAGTCCTGTATGTAAGTAGCAAACTTGAGAGACCCTGGATGAATCCAAATGAGAAGTCCTTCCATGTTGTAGGAAACTGTGTTGACCGTCGTTCCGTCTTGGATTCACCTCTTGTTAGCGTGCGTCCGAGATATAACCCTAGATCCGTCTCTGGCTCTGTCCGAAGTTTCGTTGAAACCAAATAAAAACTTGCTAGATTTGAGGTGTTTTGAGCGAACTCCAGGTTTCTAATGTCCTGACACAATGTTGTCAAAAGGACTTCAGACTCAAACACATTTGGCCATCGCATTCTGTCCCACACCCCTACAGCGCATTACAGCGCTGTACGAAGCCGCTTCTAAGTGGTGCACGTGTTACATCCAAATTTTTGCAGTACATACATTTCCAATCATATACGCACATAAACACGTGGAATTACGCCTATCCAGCCACGCTTTGCTTCTCCATGATTCAGTCACAACAGCAATCATTTTTGCATATTTTGCTTTTCTTGATTGCACGATGTTGCGACCTGCAAAGGTCCTCTTCCTGTGCGGTGGCTCCATGCTTGTAGCCTCCACCTTGGCTTTCACAAACACACATGCTTCTAAAAAAGCACTGGAACTGGACCCCTAGTGTTTTTTCCCGAAAGCATTGCGAAGGGTTCTTCCGGAAAATCCTTTGAACACTGACACTTCGACACTTACACTTCGACACTCACACTTACACACACACACACTGGAAGAGCGAAAGCATCCAAGTGCGAAGTATGCCAGTGTCAAAGTATGCAAGTGTATAAGTATGCAAGCATGATATGCAAGCGTGAGTATGCAAGCATGCAATGACTATGCAAGCACGCAACAAGCATGCAATGAGTAGGCAAGTGTGAGTATGGAAAACTAGCACGGGAGATGTCCTAATGAAAAAACATTTCCCCACTTAATAAATTCTCTCTTAAAGGCGATGTCCTAATGAAAAAACATTTCCCCACTTAATAAATTCTCTCTTAAAGGCGGAGGGCGGGACGAACAGCGTCAACCGAAAGTGCAACCCTCTGCGGAGATCGTGCGTGTGCGAAATGCAGGCGAGAGTGCGATTTGTCCGGTCCGCGCGCAGCCCTCTGCGGAGAACGTGCGCGTCGAGTGCGCGAAATGCAGGCGAGAGTACGATTTGTCCGGTCCGCGCGCAACCCTCTGCGGAGATCGTGCGTGTCGAGTGCGCGAAATGCAGGCGAGAGTGCGATTTGCCGGCTACCCGCGCAACCCTCTGCGGAGATCGTGCGTGTCGAGGGCGACGAGAGTGCGATTTGTCCTGTCCGCGCGCAACCCTCTGCGGAGATCGTGCGTGTCGAGTGCGCGAAACGCAGGCGAGAGTGCGATTTGGTACGCAACTCTAGTACATCTGCGGAGTATCTGGGGACAGCTTGAACTGGCGACTCTTTGAAGCTGCTGGTTTTACTAGTGAGTTAAGTGAATTAAGAGAGTTAGCTAACTAATTACTAACTAGTTATAAGCCTTAAATTTTTAAAAATATGAGTAGCTATTTTTGATTTTGGTTGAGATTGAAATATAAAAAACCATCACCCAAAAAATAAAAGTAAATGCCAATGTCAAACAAAATGAACTTTTCGAAACTTGTTTTATTGATCTGAGCCTGTATATGTTTCAGGAAGCTCCAACTTTTTTTGGCCATGAATGGGTTCACCATTCATGTTTTTGTGACAGGGTTGCATATGAACCAAACATCACAAAGGAAATTGCATTTTTCATGAACAATATTGTTGCACAGCAGCAGCTGGAACAACTGGCGACTGTGAACTTGAAAGTTGAAGTTTTGCATCAAAAGTACAAAAATAACAGTGACTATAATGTCGAAGAGGGGCTTCCAAGCAGGAGCTTGCACAAGCTTTGCTGGTGAACAAATGAGCTTGCACAAGCTGAAACCTTGAAACACCATTTGAGCACTAACAGTACCCCAGCCCTGACACCTGCAACCATGTTTTTTCATTCTGGCAAGAGAAAGGTGCTGGAGTCAAGCGCACAAAGCTGCCATCTTGGGCTTCTGTGTGGACCACTGGCTGCAAGATTCTGTCAAGAGCCATCAGCTTCAGCTGACCATGTGCTGCTTGCCACTTGCTGGACTGAGTTCCTGCCCTTGTCCCTTTGAAGGTCAGCTCATCAACAATGCAGAAATGAAGATTGTGTATAACCAGGAAGTGTTTCACTTTCCCACATCCCCAGAAGCTACTGTTTGCAATGGTCGGTTGCAGCAAAACAACATCACCTGCCTTGCAGGTTGTACCTGTTTGCAGGACACAAGACCTGGAGCACTCCATGCCTTTCCAAAAGACACCTTCTTGAACCAAGGTGCTCATTAGCTTCTTAGTTGGCTGTCGAGGCTCGACCACATGGCTTTGTGTGCTGAAAAGATCTTTATCCTTGACCAGAGTGTTGACATGCTCCATAGTGACAGCTGTAAGAAGTCCTTTCTCGTATGTTTGTAACTTGCAGTGAACACTTCCAAATTTCCTGGGTTGCTGATGCTTTCTTTCAAGAGCAAAACAAGAGGGAAGCTGGGACCATCTTCTCAAACAATCTGGCAGGTGCAGAGCCCAGTGTTGTTTAGGCTTCATGCCATCAGCAAAACCAGCTGCAACTGTGGACTGCAGTGCTTGTTCCACTAAGGACACAAGCTCCCTGGGTGAAGGCTGTTGCAAATGAGGGATACTGACCAAGAAATCCAGAAGGTTTGCCCAAGCGATGAAGCAAGCACACTGCTCCACCATCACATTGTGTGCTACAAACATCACTTGCAGAAAGTACTGCATGAGCTTGTAGATGCTGAGCATCTCTGAAGCTGAGCATTTGAACGTTCCAGCTTTCTTGGAACTTGTCACAGCCTTGGCATCAAACAATTTGCAAGGGTTGCAATTGTAACCTTTGGGCAATTGCCACAGCTGAATCCATGAGGCCAAAGTCTGCCACACTTTGACTGAGCTGGGAAGTGATTCAAGCACTTGATGCAAAATGTCATTCAAGACCCCATGGCTTGTCAGTAAATGCATGTAATCATAGCAGTAAAGAGATACTGGTTTGAGCAGTCCAGCTGATAGCAGTGTATCACTGCTGAGCAGCGCATGGTGGTTGTAGCTCAAGCCACTGGCCTGTTGGAGTTGTTTGAATTCTGCCTGGGTTGTTGTAGCAACCTTTTCCTTCAGCCTTGTCCAACTAGCAATGATTTCCTCATCGGTTGCTATGTGAAGCTGCTCATACTTGAGGAATTTGCTGAAGATTTTGGCACTTTCTCCTTCTGTGCTTTCTGCATCCCTCAAGCTGAATATATTGTTGCATAGGAAGCATGGCTTGCTGCCAATGTCTTGGCGATTGGCCCATACCTGCTTGTGGGCACTGCCATCCTGGAGAAGCATTCCCAGGGAAAAATGTAACCTTAGATTCCCCTTGGATGATTTGAGCAACACCCCAGTGGTGGCAGTTCCATCACCAAAAATGCGCTCCAAAATGTGTCTAAAGACTTGGCTGTATCCAGCTTGCAATGTTGCAACCTCTGAAGATCTCAGGATGGAGATGCAAAACCACAGATCTGATCTACTCAGCAAATGTCCAAGCTCCAAGAATGAGATGTAAAAGCACCAACATTTCCTGGAGGTACTGTTCAAAATGTTGCCAGGGTGAACTTCATCGGAATAACACACAGCCTGCCAGGGAGCTGCAAGAGAACTAGGCTGCCTGGCATGTTTGTCCAACAGAAAGTCTGTGAACTCTCCTGCTTGGTTGAAGATGCCAGAGAGCAGAGACAAAAAGTTTATGAACAAGAAAGCCACCTTCTCATTGTTCAGAGTGGTGGCTTGCACACTCTGAAACAAAGGCCCATACATACTCATCGAGTGATCCTCCAAGAACTGTTTTGCTTCATTCCAAATTGAGAATCTACTGTGCTGTCCTGGCAATCCACCTTCTGCAATTTCCTTGCAGATTGCTGCCAAAGCTGTTTGTGTGCAAAAGGGGACTGAGGCCCTCAAGTCTGTGATTTTCCTCTTCTTAGAAGAAGATGCATCAGCAGCCATGGTTGGGCAAATATATGGCTATAGTAAACAGAAAGCAATTGATGAAAATGCAGTGAGACATTCTGTTTTTATGGATGATAAAGGGAAACCTATGTGCACTATATGAACCTGATTGCTTTGTCTTTGTGTTGTAGCTTTTAGGAGGTAGTGATGAAAGTGGAACTACCAAAAATGAATTCACTGTATGTGAAAATTGTTTCAGTAGTTAACTCTATGGAGCCTGTACTCCAGGACAGAAAAAGTGATGTGGATGTGGAACTTGTTGAATAAACCAAAAAAGCCTGCACAGGCTTGACAATGGAGCTTGCACAGGCTCAGTGACAAGTTCAGCCTGTACTGGCTTGTCGATGGAGCCTGCACAGGCTCAGTGACAAGTTGAGCCTGTAGTGGCTAAGCTATGTCCTTTTTTCCAACACCTTGCACATGGTTGAGCCTTCTATTGGGCTTCCTCAGCATCCACCTTGGCAGCTATCCTCTCAACTGCTGCCCTTATTTGCTCCTCAGTGAACCTCATGTTGCCCTGGCAGTTCCTCACAAACTGCTCTGCTGAGTACCATGTCTGCCAGCCTGACAAAGGTTTGGGCAAACAGTTTGTGAGGCAACCAGATATACACAACACAGAAAGTGTTGTTGAAACATGTTGAAACCAACAAGCTGACAACTAACACTTTTGGTGCAAGCCCAAGCCTCCTGGGTTCAACCTCACATACCAATAGGTCTTTCGACCTCTGGCATCAACCCATGACTTGAAGCAAGCAGTTGCAGAAGGAGATGCAAGAGGCATTTTCCTTTCTTTGAGCCTTCACAGGGCTGCCTTGAAAAAGAATCATTGTGGAAGAAACATTCAAAAGCAGCCTTTGAACAATGGTTCTGACAACTTGAAGCAAAGCCTTCAAAGGCTGTGTCCAACATGAGCCTTCAAAGGCTGTGTCCA